AAATATCCAGCCAAGAGTGGCTCTGTGGTCATAAACTGACCACTGACTAAGGACTAGAGGAGGGCTAACACAAATTGTCCACCAACACATGAGCTACAGTCTAACTGTACACCAACACGGTGGATCTACAAGGTAGGAGTTTCTAATAAAGAGAACGGAAGTGAGAGGTCTCGGAGGTTGAGGGGTTAACGCTGGAGCTTTGAACTCCCCTTGACCCTTTTTTAAGTCCAGGCTTTGGGTACAGGATGTGGAATGTCAGCCAGAGGTGAGATGTTTTAGACTCTCCCTGTTTTTTCTTCTCTTTGGGTTTCCCACAGAACGTCACCCTCCGTTAGCATGTGAATATCAGGTGATATCATGGAAAGTCAGCTTGTGCTGTTTGAGTTGACAGGGGACCTAAAGAAGAAGATGATGATGAAGGATGACCGTAGTACCGTTAGTTAGGGGCGTTTCAACCCAGTGTTCTGGTTCCTGTATGTGGATATCAGTGGGGAACTGTGACCATTAGAGCTAGGCCTTCAGTTTGGGCCATTAATGTCACAACTCAAAAAAGACCTCAACAGCAATGCCAATAAAACCACAGTGGGATTTTGGTAGTATATTAGTGCTAAGCTAACAGCACAGGATTAAACACAGTCAGTTGAAATAGACATTAACATATTTTACCTTGTTTACAAGGACTTTTTCAGGATACCTGGCTTGGCTCGTATTCACTGTCAGTGATGTGTCTAGATCTTCCAGAAAGCCTGGAGGTCTTAAAATCCAGACCACAAATCCAGTTTTCGAGCCTGGGTTTGGTAATCAGTGGTAGGTCTGCTTCTAGGATGGATTGTCCACTTGGATTAAAGGTCCAGTTCCACTGGAAATCAGAAATGTGATTGGTGGACTCCACTGCCACTTTCTAATGTTGTTAGTGGTTAATCTAACATGTTAGGCCTTCAGTTCAGCTCCTGAAGTCCTAACCAATAAGATATCTCACTAGCTGTATCTACCTGGATACCAAACATAAAAACCGTGATTGGATAATTGAATGTTTGGCTTTTTGAGATTTTAACCAGGGATGCACCAAAATTTTGATCAAAAATAGTACTTTTGGTTTTCAAACGACAGAGAAAAAAATTGAGAAATTGAGGCCGAAGTAAACATAAAATATAAAATTGCTGTTGTCAGAGCAAAACCTCGTATCTCAATTTTTGTTCATTTTTCAGTTTTTGACATAATTTGAAAGTACCTGTTGCCCTACACATTGTGTGTAAATTGATGGTGAATGGACCAACGGAAATGACCCAAAATTTTCAGGAAAAATGTCTAGTTCCATTGACTTACATTAAAAGTAAAGTGTTTTTTCCTTCTCCTGTAAAGTTATAATTTTGGAGATACGAGGTTTTGTTCCAACAACAGCAAAATATAAAATATGAGCAAGAAAACATGTGCCAACCAGCCCCACCCACATCAGGACGCTAACACTCACTTTACTTCATGCTAGCTAGCTAGCATTAATTATCATTGGCTTTATCATAGATTTTTAATATCTATCTTTAACCCCTTTTCACGGTAGCCAGAAAATGTTAGCAAACAGGTCAACATTTATAAAAATGCCTTCATTGTGTTTAAATGTTATTTTTATTGGGGCAGTTGTACACGATTAGTTTGATATGAAGAAAGCTGCAATCGCCTGTTTTATCTCCGTCTTAGTGGAGAGGTGTGAACCCACAGCAGGGTGGTTCTCAACCATCCCCTTTCGCCCCATCATTGCTCACTAGCAGCTCAACATAGAGTCACTACATTTTATGTACAGAGAGACAACAGAGTCCTAGTTAAAAGATAAACAGAGTTACGGGGAAAAAATAATTCATTATATTAATGAAAAATATCCATATCGACTTCCATTCAACCTGCGGAATGGCCACTAGGGGGGCTGCAGAAAGACGCTAAAACATTTCACTTTTACATAACGTTCAGAGATGTTGACAAAATGGATGAACGTCAGTCAAGGGCAGTCATGTTTGCCCTGTCACACAAAAGAAAATCTAAATTTTTGGCTTTTTTTATAATTTGAAAAGACATAAAAGACATAATTTGAAATTTCACGATGAACGGACCAACAGAAATGGTCCAAAATTACTTGGAAAAAAATTGTGTTACATTAACTTCCATTATAAGTTAAGAAATGTTTTCCTGTTCCGAGAAGGACGATTTATGTGAAAGTTCTTCCAATTGATCCCGAAATAAACGATGTTCCAATAAACCCCATACTCCACTGCTGTCAATTTTAAAAGGTCCACTTTCATGGGAAAAAAAGACCCACCCTTCTTATCTGGCTGGCCACGCTGCTGATCTGTAATTCCTACAATAGAGGTATAAATAACACACGATGCAATGGGGTAACAGATTTATGAAAGGATCAAGCTTAATGTAGCAGATATCAGTCCATTAATATGCTTCAGTCAGCTCTAAAACCAACATTAGACATTATAACATCAGTTTGTGACATCCCACCTTTTAGCATTTTAGCATAGCTTAATTTCCGTTTCTACAAATTCTACATCACTAAAAATGGTCAAATGCTAAAAGGTGGGATGTAAAGAATTGATGTTAAATAATGGTTTCAGAGCTGATCGAAGCATATTAATGGGTTGATATCTGCTACATACTGCTTGATTCTTTCTTAAATTGATCCGTTAATGTGCTTCGATCAGCTTCGAAACCAGTATTGAATGTCAATTCATGACATCTCAACCTTTAGCATTTTAGCATAGCTTAATTTCTGTTCCTACAAAGTCTACATCATCAAAATAGTCAAAATGCTATAAGGTGGGATGTCTAATGAACTGATGTTAAATATTAGTTTCAGAGCTGTTTGAAGCATCTTGATGGATTGATATCTGCTACATTAAGCTCGATCCTTTCTTAAATTGATCTATTAATATAGTTCGTTCAGCTACGAAACCAATATTTAACATCACTTCATGACATCCCACCTTTTAGCATTTTAGCATAGCCTATTTTCAGTTCCTACAAATTCTACATCACTAAAATGGTCAAATGCTAAAAGGTGGGATGTCAGGAACTGATGTTAAATATTGGTTTCGGAGCTGATTGGTGCGTATAAATGAATTGAGATCTGCTACATTAAGCTCGATCCATATCACAACCTGATGTTGACTATTGGTTTCGGAGCTGATCAACGCATAATAATGGATCGAGATCTGCTAACTAAGCTCAAGCCTTTCTTAAATGTATCCATTAATATGTTTTGATCAGATCCAAAACCAATATCTAACATCAGTTCATGGCACCTCACCTTTTAGCATTTTAGCTAAGCTTCTTTTTAGTTCCTACAAATTCCACATCACTAAGATGGTCAATTGCTAACAGGCCGTCTATTAAGGCCAGCATTCGACTGTAGCCTCTGCCTCACTACTCCACAGCGCTGACGTACTGAGACGTCCTGTAAAGTGTGTGTGTTTGTGCATTGTTTTTTAAAGCTATTAGCGTTTGAGTGACACACACTTGTGTTTACCTAGCGTCTGTCCGCGAGTTGGTTTTATAGGGTTTTACTGCCCGTGTGATTTAAACGTCTGGCCAGAGCATTCCACAAACAGTAATGCAGCGTACAGAGGATATTCTGTTGAAGCTGCTGACCGTCACTCATCACCACAGTCCAGTGGTGGAACACAGATAGAGCTTCTGAGTTCACTGGAGCTTTTCAGCCAGCTTGTCTTCCTCTCAGGGGCAGAAGCAGGTGCACCACCTCACCATACAAGTAACCCCAAATACATTCAGTAATGATGAGGACAGGACTCAAAAAGGTCCAGTGTCCACTCTCCTGCTGACCGCTGTCTTTGTTGTGTGTGTGCTAATGCACTTTAATGGCCCACTTACTCTGTGTGTGTGTGCTGTTCACATCCAAACTACACTTCAAAATTAGGAGTTTTAATGTGAATAGCTTTTACTTTATGTACATACTTACATAATGTGTTTATCAACTGACCTCCAGATTAAATCTGGATATTAATTTTATTGGAACTTCATTCTGGAAATCAATGTTAGTTGAAATCTATTGTTGATATTCATTTTATTGTAATTTCATTCTGGAAATGAATTGTATTAAAACTTAATTCTGAATATTCCTTTTATTAGAACTTCTTCAGTGAGCGGACTTACAAATTCTGAGTATTAACTGTATCACAAATTCATTTGCGATATTAATTTTGTCATATTTGTTTAATGAGAACTTCAATCTCAATAATGATTTCATTTTGGATATTTACTTTATTATAAGTTTATTCAAGATATAATTATTTTAATTTGATTTTAGGTATTAATTTATTTGATTTCTTATTCTCAAATAAGAATAATGATAATAATAATAATAATAATAATAATAATAATAATTGATAGGTTTTTTATATCTTAGTAATTCTTAATTATTTGAGAACTATAGAGAACTACAATCACAGTACACATTTATCTACAATTATTATAAATGTATTCTATATATTAATTCAATTAAAACTTTATTTTAGATATTATTCTTATGAGAACTTCAGTTTGGATATTAACTTTATTACATAGATAGATTGATAGATAGATAGATAGATAGATAGATAGATAGATAGATAGATACAAATCTTTGTTAATCATTATAGAATGATCTACAGCTCTGTTCCTTATTCTAAAATAACATGAATAATAATAAATAATATTAATAATAATTATTATTATTACTAATAATATTCTTTATATCTTAGTCATTTCTGATTATTTGAGAACTGTAAAGAACTAAAATTATGTTACACATTTATCAATAATGAATTGTTGTCATATGACTGAATTCAGTGATCTGAGTTGAGCAGTTGTGTCCGTGTGTAGAGGCTCAGAGAAGAGGAGGTGCTTGTGGGCAGCGCGGCTTTATAAAGGAGAAGAGAAGGTAGAGTGCATCCACTCTCAGAGCAGCTGGATCTTCATCTCTGCTTTTCTGACCTTTGGTGTCCACCATGCAGGGACGGACACTTCTCAGGACAGCGCTGGTGCTCTGGTTGGCCAGGCTGACGCTCCAGGGAGGCACAGGTAGGTCCCACACAGAGAGAGAGAGAGAGAGAGAGAGAGAGACAGAGAGAGAGAGTACAGTTAAATTATGTAAAGTATTCACTCACTGAATTCTACAAAACAAATTGAATCCAATTGAATCGTGGGGAAATTCTATCATGATTCACTCAGTTGATTCCTCAGCATGCTGGGAGTGAATGGGAGCACTGTACTGTATGTTAAAGGAGAATTCCACTGATTTTTAAAATTTTCTGCATAAATCAATCGTTGAGATGTAAACAAGTCATTCAGAGTGTTTTCATATGACATAGTTCATTATAGAGAAGACCAACTTCACGATTACTTTACAGTGGTGGTGATAGGAGCCAGACGTTGCCATGTCTACAGCACAAATAGCCATTTAATTTACAATCCAAAACCACCAGCGAACCTACATGTGTCTTCTGAGTTGTAATATATGAAATGTTGATGATGGGAGTTGTAAATGTGGAAAAGTAAGTTTCCTTTTTTTGCCTTACATGCACCCCTCCACCAGAAATGGGTTTTAAAATCTTAGTTTTAGTACAAACTTTCTCAAAACTATCATGAAACAAGGCATCGGGCAGTGCATTCATAACCATTTCATGTAATAACTTTCAGAAAGGCAGTTTTTTAGAGGCGTCTGGTTCCTATCACCACCACTGTGAACAATTCTGAATTAATATGTTTCTCTAGAACGAAGCGTTTCACACCAAACCACTCGTAACGATATAATTATGCAGATATTTGGAAAACAGATAGAATTTCCCTTTAAAAAAAGAACCACAATAGTGGAAAAGTTTGTTCTAGTCCATCAGCCGGCTTTTGAAGACATCCTTAATCAGACATGTTTTGTCTCATTTTGTACTCGTTCTGTAGCAGCTGAAGTCGTTCTCTTTGAAACATGCCAGATGTTTGTCTGCCCTGCTTGATTACCGTCTGGTTCTTCTAGACTTTAAGGACTGTAATGACTTATAATATTATCAGTTGTACATTGTGTACATGGCATTAAAGGGGAACTCCACTGATTTTTCAAAAATTCTGCGTAATTAAATGGTTAACATGTAAACAGAGTCATTCAGAGTGGTTTGGTGTGAAACGCTCTGTTGTAGAGAAACTTACAGAGTCAGAATTGTTCACTGTGATGGTCATAGGAACCAGACGTCCACCTCTAAAAGCTCCTTCACAGAACGTTTTTACATGAAATTGTTAGATATGCGCTGATTAAAGTCTGACACATTGTTTTATGATAACTTTTTAATAAATTTTTGGCTTAAAATCTGTTTTAATCAATTTCTTTAAATCCATTCATGGCGGAGGGGTACATTCAGGGCATTGCAAGGCAAAATAATCCCCAATAAAAACATATTTTTTCTGAGTTGCCATTTTTTTACCATTATTAACATTACATATTAAAACTCAGAAGTCATGTGTAGGTTCACTGGTGATTTAGGATAGTAGATAAAATGTCTATATTTGTGTTGTAGTGATGGCGACCCTTGGTTCCTATCACCACCACTGTAAAGACGTCCGAGCCAGTCAGTTTCTCGACAGTATAGTATTTCACACCAAATCAATCTGAATGACTGTGTTTACAGCCTGAATTATTCAGAAATTTTGAAAATTGGTGGAATTCTCCTTCAAATGTGTTGGCAATCTAACTGTTGCACCGTCTCTCTTTGGTTATGTCGCTACATGACTGACAGTCGTCTCAAGGGCTTTACGCTGTGAGCGGTTTAACTCATTACTCAGTCTATGTAGTTAAAGGGAAATGTGGTTCAGTGGCTGAGATGTAAACAATATCATTCAGAGTGGTTCAGTGTGAAATACTTCACTGTGGAGAAACTGACCGGCTCAGATGTCTTTACAGTGGTGGTGATAGGAACCAGGGGTCGTAATGTTTACAATGCACATATAGCCCCCCTACACAAGTCTTATATGTTTTATATGGACTGTTGATGATGGTAAAATAATGTAAAAAAAAAAAAAAAGTCTTTTTATTTTTTTGGGCGTGGTTTAGGCCAAAATCTTCTTAAAACTATGGTAAAACTGTCTCAGTCATCAGGCAATGCATTCATAACCTTTTCATGTAATAACTTTCTATAAGGGAGCTTTTAGAGGTGGACGTCTGGTTCCTATCACCACCACTGTGAACAATTCTGACTCTAAAACAGAGCATTTCACACCAAACCACTCTGAACGACTCTGTTTATGTATTTATGCAGAAATTTGGGAAAATCTGTTTCCCTTTACATTTCAAAGTAAAGGATTCTCTCTAGTCCTCCTATTTGCCAACTTCATCTGGACCCCATACAGAGGTTTGCTGGACATGGACCAATGTAGATTAAGCGTAGGCCTGGGTTCTCCTTATAGGACCATCTTTCTGGCCATGGATTAAGCCAGTTTTGGACTAAGCTGGTGGTTCACCACTGAAAAACCATCACTCATGCTTTTGTTTAAAAGAGAACTCCACCCATTTTTCAAATTTCTGCATAATTTAATGGTTAAGATGTAAACAGAATCATTCAGAGTGGTTTGGTGTGAAACGCTCTGTTCTAGAGAAGCTTACTGAGTCAGAATTGTTCACAGTGGTGGTGATAGGAACCAGACGTCCACCTCTAAAAGCTCCCTCACAGAAAGTTACTACATGAAATGGTCATGGATACTCTGTCATATCTGACATGTTGTTTTATGATAGTTTTAGGCCTAAAACATATCTTCTAAAGTACATGCAAAAAGTCCCTAAATTAACTTATCTTTTTCAGATTTATGACTATTTTACCATCATTAACATTACATATAAAAACCCAGAAGACTCGTGTAGGTTCACTGGTGGTTTTGGATAGTAAATAAAATGTCTATATTTGTGTTGTAGTCATGGCGACCCCTGGTTCCTATCACCACCACTATAAAGAAATGACTAATCACTGATCACTTTTGAAAAAAATTGGTGGACTTGCCCCTTAACTCAGAATCTAGGAATTTGACTGGAGCTCTTGTCTGGAATTTGACCCAATGAGGTGTCATTGAAGAGACATTGAAGTTCTGAAGACATTTGCTGGACAAATAGGTCCAGTATTAGAAATAATTGGAAACCACTCATTGGTCAGTGTTCATGCTGGACTGGACAGAAAGGTTTATCTCTCTGAAACGCCTTCTGTCTGCCGGCTCAGGACGTCGCCTCGACTATAAAACTTTCATGGCAGTTTGTGAAACAAGAGCTGCTTCCATGTCTTTCTTTGCTGAAGGCCTCCCAATGCCAAATCAAAGAGAGGCAGTCTTAGGTGGCAGTGCTCATCTAAATTTGACATTCAGCTGTGAAAACGGGATTTTATTGCGTGTACACAGTCGCTCCATTGATGGGCCTTCGCTCCACTGTCTCAATGAATCTGCTCTTTTCTTTTTTCTGAGCACGTCAGGCGTTTGGGCAGCAGCCGCTGCAGCTCAGCAGTTTCGGCTCTTTATTATAAACCAATTAAATGGCACATGGAAGCTTTCATTAAACAGACCAGTCCTGGACAGCCAATGTAAAGCCAGCAGCCTAAAAAGTGCTTGTTGTGGACAGTGGCCAACTGTTTTAGTCTTATACCTTGGCTAAAGTAGTTATCCTGGTTTTAGTCTAACTCAGCTAGTCTTAAAATACAACCATGAATTTTTTTTGTTTAATATCTAGTGATGTGCAGTCGTATGCAGAAAAATGTAATGATGTTTTGTTGATTTTCCAACTGAAAATGAATTTTACACTGTCTACAGAGAACATATGTATTTTTTCTCTAATTTTACAGCACAATTTTCATTTATTTTAACAGATTTAACAGTTTAACAAATTATAACAGTTTAACAGTTCTACAAATATATATATATGTAATATAAGATATAAAATGTAAAATAATGTATTAAAAATATATAATAAAATATAAATAAATATAAAAAAATAAAATAAACCTTTGCACAGGTCACATTATATGTTTTATTTTTTTCACTAATATATTAAATTAAGCAAATTTTGCAGGTGTGTTATCTATAGAGGATGTGTCACTTAGGAAAATCAACATATTGTCATTTAACTAGAGGCACCCAAACTTTTGCACACGCCTGTACACCCCAGTATTTAAAAGTTAATAATCACTGATTTCAACAATATAAAACCAGAGTTTACAGATAAATGTATAATATATAATGATTAATATTCTAGTTCTGTGTAAGTAAATTTCAAATAATTTACAGAAGCTGTAAATTCAGCCTAGATAATTTATCATACCTCAATTATGGATATTATTAAATTTTCTTTCATTTTAGATATAATGTTAAAATTCATTTGATGAAATGTTAATTTACAGTAATGTAATATTCAGTTAAAGTTTCATTTAAAATTAATATCTGCAGTGAGCTTATAATCAAATTAGTATTAATAATGAAGTGATATTAAAATTAATATCTAGAATAAAGTTATGATCAATTTAATATCCAGAATTAAGTTCTAACAAAAATAATATCCAGGATAAAATTTTAATCTCAGTAATATTTAGAGTGAAGTTCTAAGAAAATTAATGTCCAGAACTAGTTATAATAAGATTAATATCCAGATATGTATTAAGTTTTAGTAAAACTTTTATCTGGAATTAATCTGTATTAATATTAATATCCAGAAAGCTTTGCATTTCAAAAGTAGTGATCAAGTTATGTAACTTGATAAAAAAGTTCATAAATAGTATAATATTGTTTTGTCAATAACTTTATTCCCAAAAACTTGAAATATAAAAAAAATTGAAAAACACAATTGAGTTTATCATTTTTAAATTAAAATAAAAAATAATTTAAAAATATTTATACCCAGATTGATGTCCTAATAAAAAATATTAGCCAGAATAAAGTTATAATAATTAAATAAATAATTAAAATGAATATCTAGATAGCTTTGCATTTCAAAAGTGGTGATCAAATCAAGTTATATAACTTGGCAAAAAAACTGTAAATAGAAAATTACAACATATTGTTTATCAATAACTTCCCAAAAAACTTGAAATATTGAGTAAAACATTGAAAAACACAATTTGATTTTATAATATTTAAATGTAAATTAAAATGATAATTAAAAATGTAAACAAATATATATATGTTTATACAATGACAACAATGACTCAGTAGTGTGTTATAACTTTTGGCTTCAATCTTCACTGTAGACTAAAACTGTCTTGGTTTTTGGTGTCTTTCTTTTCAGGGTATCAGCCGGCCAACGGTGGAGTGGGTCGAATGTTAATGCCATCCAAAGGTAACATCGTTCTCACCTGGAAACATAAAACAGTGGTTTAAAATGAATAGATATCTATGAAGGAACGCTGTTTTTATGTGCTTATGACTGTGTATTTCGTCCCTTTGGTTCAGGTTATGGTCTCGGTCCTCAGGCTGCCAATGGGTACTCACCCAAATTCAAAGGACAAGGTGAGGATGAGCAAAACTTAGCTTCTTCATCAGTCTTGAACACACAGTCATTTGCAAAACAAGTTTTATTGATTTTCTAAGGTAAAATAAGTGAACACATCCTCTGCAAGCTTAAAGTTTATTTGCTGAATGTAATGTATTGGAAAAAACATACAGCACATTTAAAATTCTATTATTTTTTCCATTATATTAAACTCACTAAATAAATAGAAACTGTGTACTAAATTTAGCTGAAAAATGTTTAAATTTCTAGAGGATGTGTTAAATTATTTTCACTTAGAAAATCAACAAAACTGGTTTTTGGGGGTTGTTCAACAAATTTGAACAGGGGTGATAAAACATTTCCATATGACTGTATACAATATTAGGTCTGTTTTGCATTTCAGCTATTGGCAAAAAATATTTAAAAAATGTTTTATTAATTTTTCATTTAAAAAGTTTCTTAATATTTAAAAATCCAACAGCATGCAACAAAGATTTGTGAAATACTACTTATTTATTGGATACATATTCAATTATTTGATTACTGCTCTGAAGCAATATATGTATTTTTTATGTTTGGAAGGCCTGTTTTAGGAAAATGTTTTGGACTTTCTAATGTTGGAAAAGTTTACTATTTATACATTATTAAAATTAAGTTCGTAAGCATGCAGGAGATATATGTATATATATATATATATATATATATATATATATATATATATAAATTTTCTCTTTTATTTATTTATTTTTTTAAACCAGGTTATGGTGCTCAACCTCCCCCATCCAATGGGAACAAAGCTGGGCCCAATGGTGAGTATTATTGCAGCCATTCAAAAGTCAATAATGATGATTCTCAAGAATCTAAATCCAATTCTTTTGAATTTGTTTAAGGTCAAGGTGCCGCACAACCCCGCTGGAAATGGTGGCAAACCCAAAAGTAAGATTTACATTTTTGTATTTCCTGCTTGAATTTATTTGCATGTGTAAAATGATATATAATATAAACTGAAACAAAATAAATTACAAAAATATTTTTTTATAGGTAATATACAGAATTCTTTTTGTTAAAGTGTGTGAATAATATAAAGAAAATACTTACCATGTCTCTTGTGTATCCTGTTTATATCATAATGTTTGTCAAATTTATATCTTTCAAATATAAAATTAATTTCTGTTTTTCTTTCTGCAAATATCTGAATATACATTGTATGCAAAAGTTTGAAATGACATGTTGTGTTGATTTTCTAAGTGAAAATAAGTGAACACATCTACAGAGACACACTAACATATGACATTGTTCTGCAGTATTTAGTGCACCGTATTGGGGGAAAAAATAAACATAAATTAATAAAATGTGTGTAATTATAATATTATAAAATAATAATAAAACGTAAAACTTTTGCACAGACCACATTTTGTATTAAATTATGTTAAATTTAGCAAATAAACAGTGATTGTGTGTCAAAATATGCAGAAGTGTGTCTCTGTAGAGGATGAGTTCACTTATTTTCAACAAAACATAATTTGACCAGAGGCACCCAAAATTTTGGACTGTAAAAAAATAACTATATTTTATTGTAAAATATATTTATCAGGTGCTGACAAAATGCTTCTGAAAGGCTACGGTGCTGCTTCTACTGCTCTAGGAAATGGGGCCAAGCCAAATGGTGAGTATATTACCATCAACAGATATATAGATATAGGGAAAATATGAACTTAAACAGTTTACAAATAGATATAACCAGGTAGGTTAATCTGAATTTCATATGAAGAAGTTAATTAACTTAGTAAACTATCTTGCACGTCATTGATATTCTACTATTAATCCGCAGGTTATGGACCTGCACCCATCAAACTCTTTTCAAACGTTGTGCTGATATAATATGACTACCACTAATAATAAGAGTAATAATAATGATAATAATAATAATGATAATAATAGTATGTGATGTAATTTATACTGTCTGTGAAAGGCAACAGGAGCTTGTGCAAAAATCTGTGTAAATTATTTAAAATAATTTTATAAAACGGATAGTTCCAGTCCTAAAATCTGATTGGCTGAGCCGCTTTCGAAGCCGTTTTTAAATCCAAAATAAATGCACACTTATGACCACCTCACAGCGACTGAACTCTGTATCACTGCACCACAGCACGAAAAACCCTTGTGCTGTTAATAGAATAATCTTTGACTCTCATGCTGCTCGTATGGATCACCGAGTAAATTGATGAAGTTAGAATACGAAGAAAATAAAAGAGCCAACAACCTAAACAGCTCCTTCATTAATATCACAGGCTTGCATTAAAGTACTTACTGAATGGTTAACTGTAAAACTGCAGTATAATGTCTTACACACTTCCAACGTTTGTGTTTCAGTCAGAAGTCGCATCAAACCCAGGCTGAATCCCAAATGGCTCCGTACTCCGTAAATAGTTTTCTAGCTATGAAAGTTTACAAATTCTAGCCTCTACAGACAAACAGTGCATCATTTATCAAGTGTGGATGTGTCTGAGCCCCAAATGACTGTTTCTTAGCTGTATTTTGCTCTGTTGGGCTGCAGGATCCAGTATTTAAACTCCTACGTAGTGCACCGTGTAGGGAGCAGGGTAATCTGGTGACTAAAAAGTGCTTATAAAGGGAAAGTTTTTGCATTAAACAGTGCTGCGTTATCATATGTTCATTATTATACGACAACAAGTTAAAAAATTCATGAAATTAAAGCAGTGTACAGCGATTGACCGAGTGCTCTCCTCATTCAATAGGCAGCGATACTATAAAGAAACTATATTTCCTGGTGGAATACTTGTTTACGTTGATTATTAATTATAATAACCAATTATTTTCTGAAAAAAATGTGTTTTATCATATTTTATTTGTTGCCATTTTAGGCACTACATATATATCATGATCAATGGACCAAATATATGGATCATTCAGCAATATATATATATAGCTGTTGTCGGAACAAAACCTTGTATCTCCAAAATGGTAACTTTACAGGAGAAGGAAAAAACATGCTTTGCTTTTAATGTAAGTCAATGGAACCAGAATTTTTTCCAAGTCATTTTGGGTCGTTTTTTTTGGTCCATTCATCATGAAATTTACACACAATGTAAAGGGCAACAGGTAATTTCAAATTATGTCAAAAACTGAAAAATGGAGATACAAAAATGACAAAAATGGAGATACAAGGTTTTGTTCCGACAGCAGTGATATACTGTATATATACACTGTGTGTTTGTGTGAGTGTGTTGTATTCATTACAACATTATTCTTATAGAATAAGCAACTGCAATTTCATTCCCAGGTGGCCGTGCACCTCCAGCTGCAGTCAAAGGAAATGGAGGTAAATGAGGAAAATTATTTAATCTAGAAATTTTCCACCTGTAATGTCATCAGTCTAACTTTGGTAACTGATGTTAACAGGTTATGGCGCAGCGCTCGGTGGACAGGCTGCCAAACCCAACGGTAAATTCAGATTTTCAGCAATTATTGAGCGAATTATTAAAAATGTTCATTTGTGAGGAAACATGACCTAACATTTCAGTTGAACTCCATTCAGACGAATAGATATTCTGATTGGAATCACTGATCACTAGGTAGCACTGTGTATGTGAACTGGATCATTCTTATTCTAACCTTCATATTACAGGGGGCTACGGGTCCAAACCAAGTAAGCCTGGATATGGACAACGGCCTTCATACGGTATGCTGGGTAATTTACTGGGAATAGTCTCTGACCTCTTCTTCTGAACATTAATCATTTATATGAATCTAAAATGGACCTGTCCATCAGCTATGAGTGTTTGTAAATGACATGTGTGAGTGTGAAGAACCTTTTAAATCTATAAGGAACCTTCACATAATGTCAAGGTTCTTCACCAATATAATGGTTCTTCCTAAAACCTTCATATTATGTTAGGGTAGTTCTAGCCAACTGTTGAAACGTTCCCTAGAGAACCAAAAATGGCATGACGTAAAGAATGGATGTAGCTAAAACGAAAGCATCCTAAATGTAGTTCACCCACTTTCACTTTCCACTATGTCACTTTCACTGGATTTGTCTTGGATGGAAGCTGAAACCTGTTGTGTTTTGGATGCTGGTATTCTTGTCAACCAACATGACCATACTGGGTGACCAACTAAATCAACACCAGATTATTCATGGAATTCATGCTGGGCTGTGCTGGTTTTTTTTCAGCAGGACCAGATTAGGCTAGCAGGGTAACGTAAGTGCTCTGACACACTCTCAATTAAACAAATAACACCTGTAATACTGGTAAATAAAGCATTTTATTTGAGCTGATCATGACGTTATTTTTAAAATAATGTAGAGGTGACTGAGTCGTTAGCCAAGATCGACTTCCCATCACTAAAGTAACCAGTGTGGTTGACAGCAGTGGGGTGACTTGTGTGCAGACGCAGAGCAGTTAGCAAGCTAGCCAACTCGCTTACCACACGCAGTGAAAACGCACAAGTGAACATAATTACCTCAGATATACTCACCATGGCATACTACACACTGGTCTGCAGTGATGGACGAAGTACACAAACCCTGTACTTGAGTTAAAGCAGAGATACCCAAGGTAAAATATTACTCCAGTAAAAGTAGAAGTTCCTCCCTTTAGACCTCCACTTGAGTAAAAGTACTAAAGTATTTGCCTTCAAATGTACTTAAGTATCAAAAGTAAAAGTACTAAAAGAGTAATTACGGCTCTGATGTCCTATTATCATTTTTATAACAAGACTCTGCTTCATTAACTCATTTTAGGTGAAAATACTCCAGTGTCTCTCTTGGTAAACCAGTCTTTTAATAGAATGACATTAATTAGTGACGCTGATGTCTATTAAAATTATCATAAGCACAAAACACTGAAGGCAAACAGTTTCCATCAGGTAGAACTGAGTGGCTCTGAAATCACTTTTAGCAAACAAGCAAAGTTTCAGTTTAAGATTTATTTGTAACTTAGTTACAAGTTTAAGTTTAATAAAAACTTTAAACTCAGATTCACAAATGAGTTTCCTTTACTAAACTGCATCTGTAGGTCTCTGTTCATAAACATAAACTAGCCAAAACTAATTTACTATAAAATGAAATATTGTTTGTATAAATTCAGAAAAAGACACGTCAGTCACAACTGCATATGTGTACATATTTCTATATTGTGGTCTGTTTACACAAAGTTAGGTTAGTTCATCATTTATGTTGAATAGACTCTCCCAGAATTTTATACTGCTGCACTGACGTTAAACCGTGTGCTGCACTGGGTCGGTATGACCAACAGGTCAAAACAAGCTCAAAACAAAGTGACCGCTTTGCCCTGATTGGTGTTCTTGCTTTGCGCTTCTTTCGTTTTGACATGTTACGTTTTTATGCACACATAAACCAAAAGGAACGACAGATTTCTCATAATGTGGTGGAGTAAAAAGTGAGATATTTGACTTTGAAATATAGTGGAGTGAAAGTAAAGAGTCACCAAAATAGAAATACTTCAGTAAAGTACAGATACACAAAAAACTACTTAAGTATAGTAATGAATTACATTTACTCTGTTACTGTCCACCATTGCTGGTCTGTAGCAAAACATTGTAGATAACTGCTGTGGTTAGCAGCAGTGCAGCGACTGTGTGCAGCTGAGGTTAGCTATGCAGCTAACACCACAGTTAGCAAACTAGCAAACTTGTCTACTGTAAACAGTACAATCACAAAAGTGAAGATAATACTAAGTAATAGTCTCCCGACTGACTGCGTATCAGACTGTCTCTCTTTTATGTGTTTATTTTGAATCAGTGGGGAAGAAGTGTTTAAAAGGTTTGTACTAAACACTGCTAAAATTAGCATCTCCTCCATTTTGGAGGTTCAGTGCTATTAAGGGTCACTTCCTCATGCCAGTACTGGTATTGGTCGAGGACATAAATGTCAGAGTTCACCAGAATTTGCTTGTTACCCTGAAGTCTGTGACACAAAATTGAAATGAATGTAATTTTGCTTGTGAAACTTCGCTGGCAAGCGCTAATGTGACTGGGCCTTAACACACAACGACATAGCAACTCAGTCAGTACTGTGTTATCAAAAATAATATTAAAGAACACAATAACTTACAAAGTAAACTTATAACTGCTGATTTTGATTGTGACCTTCGATCATAACTTCACTAGTTTCTGAAACCCTGTTCTAGGTGGAATTGGGGTAGGCATGGGTCCTCAGCTGGCTGCCAAACAGAGAGGAGGTCAGTCAGTCCCTTTATACAATAAACAGTAACAGACTCTAAGGTGTAACTGTACCTCACTGTATCTCACTGTACTTCACTGTACCTCATGTTCCTGCATCATATAACACATGTAAAATTGCTCTTTTAACTGTAGGCTATGGTAATAACAACGGATATGGCTACAAAGCTCATTCCTTCAAAGGTGAGTTTATGAAAATATATTCATATATATCATCTTTATAATTGTTGTTATGTTATTCAGTGATAAGATATACAATGTATATTGAAATTATATAGTACAAGATATTTTTTGACTTTAGGTTTTATTAATTTTTTTGAACATGCCAAGAAGTCATTATCAAATGATAAACAATATTACTGTAATTAGCTATTTAGTATTAATAACATGTCAGCTTATCTGGACATGAATTTTTATTATGACTTTACTATGGAATTAAATTTTATTGTAACTTAATTCTAGATATTGGCTTTATTATAAAATCCTTCTGGATACAGATTTCATTCAAACATCAATGTACTTATTAATTTTATTATATATGCATTCTAGATATTAAATATATTAGTATTTTATTATTTTATTATCAATGTATTCTGGATTGTAATTTTGTTACAACTTCATTTTGAGTAATAACGTTTTAATAGCTTCTTTCTGGGTGTAAATTCTATTATAAATTCTTTCTGGATATTATTTTTATCACACATTTATTCTGGATATTTATTAAATTACATCTCCATTCTAGATATACATTATATTATAAATTCATGATGGTTAATAATTTGTTTATAACTTCATTCTGGATGTTAATCTTATTATAAATTCTTTCTGGATATTATTATTGTTACAGATTTAATCTAGATATTCATTTTATTATAGATTTATTTTAAGTAATAACTATTTAATAACTTCATTCTGGATGTTAATCTTATTATAAATTCTTTCTGGATATTATTATCGTTACAGATTTAATCTAAGTATTAATTTTACTATACCTCCATTCTAGATATTAATTTTCGTATAATAAATGATGGCTAATCATTTGTTAATAACTTCATTCTGGATGTTAATTTTACTATAAATTCATACTTGATAATATTTTTACTATAAATGTATTCTGGATATTAACTGTATTTTAACTTTAATCTGGATATTACTTTTATTATAACTTAATTATTGAATTCCACAGGTTTCTCACTTATTTTAGGATCATGTACTCCATTTGTCATTCAGGGTGCATCTAAAATTTCTCAATTATACGTTTATCTGCAACAACACTGGGTTTATAATATAAAAAAACAGTCATTCCAAAACGTTTGAGTGTCAGTGTATATAAACAGAATTTGACATTCAGGTTTGAGTGAACAGTAGATTAGATTGTAGCTTGCTGAATGTAAATATACATGTATTTTTAATATTTGTGTCTCCAGGTTATGGAAAAGGTCAGGGTGGTCAGGCTGCCTATCCACAAGCTGGAGCTAGTTTAGGTAAGACTGATTACATTTGGTTTCCATCTGGCTTCTTATGCTGAGGTTAAACGAAGACACTATTTTTTATATTTCAGTTAGCGAAGCCTTTTTTATGGAGTTGCTGTGAAATCTTGTTTTTACTATACAGGTGGAGGAATCTCAAATGGAGCAAAAGCTGCCAAACCAGGTAATGCCTCACTTTCAGTTTCACAGTAGTTTTTTATTTGTGCTTTAAAAAGAACAGCATTCTTATATAGTCAGGTTCATAGCTATAGTGAGTACATATATATATATATATATGGAGGCTCTGTATGAAAAATGGCCATAATTCCCAAACAGTCAATGCAATATTTTTGTTAAACCCCCTGAATTAAACCCAAAAATCTACACTTCAATCACATCTTGACTGCTTAATTTCTAACCCATTGTGGTGGTGCAGAGAGGCAAAATTACAAAAAAATGTGTCCTTGTCCATATACTTATGGATCTGACTGTATCTTAGCATTAAAAATGGTACTTATATATTCCAGGCTTTGGAACTGGATCTGCAGCTCAGAATGGGCAAGGAGCCAAACCCTACGGTAATTTTATTTTCAGTTGTATATTAGAAATGTGAAATGATGCACTAGTCTGTTGTATATGTTCTTGTCTGTATAGAATGTATGTTAATGTTTCTTATGAAATTAAAAAAAAAAAACAATGGCCTGGCAACAACTTAACAACCACCTGGAATACCATAGCAGTGGCCTAGTAACACCTTAGCAACCACCTCAAATGTCATAGCAGTGGCCAAAGAACACTTAAGCAACCACCTGGGATAGCATAGCAGTGGCCTAGTAACACCTTAGCAGCCACCTAAAATAGCATAGCAATTGCCTAGGAACAGCTTAGCAACCACCTGGGATACCATGGCAGTGGCCTAGTAACACCTTAGCAACCACCTAAAATGTCATAGCAGTGGCCTAAGAACACTTAAGCAACCACCTGGGATAGCATAGCAGTGGCCTAGTAACACCTTAGCAGCCACCTAAAATAGTATAGCAGTGGCTTAGCAACACCTTAGCAACCACCTGGGATACTATAGCAATGGCCTAGTTACACCTTAGCAACCACCTAAGAAGGCATAGCAGTAACCTAACAACACGTTAGCAACCACCTGGGCTGCCATAGCAGTGGCCTGGTGGTGCCTCAGTGGCTTTAACCCCAGCAGTTTGGTAGCATAATGTGATGCCTAGCTAATTGGCCATGACTAAATTGCTGGGAAATTTGAGTAAAATTGCAAAAAACAAACAAAATCAAATGTATGGTTTATAAATTAAACAGAATCTGCACATCAATCCATTATTACAATAGGCAGATGGCAGTTTAGTAATTATTCAGTATCTTTTCTCAGGGTATGGAGCTCCTACAGGAGCCAAAGGACCTAAACCAGGTAAATTACTGCCTGCTTTACACTCAGCTTCATTCATTTAGCACTGCACACATTGTCTTCATTTCAGTGTATACGTCTTCACTCACCAGCTGATATCTGTCTTATCAGGATATGGTGGATATCCTAATGCAGGAGGTGTTAAAGGACCCAAAGCAGGTAAATGGCTTCTATCCATTCTTTGCTCTCTTGGACGGAGTAGTGACGGTTAATGCTTGCTGTATAACATTGACAGAGCCATGCTATAAACATGTCATGGCAGATGTTATCACGACAGGTTTTCTTTAGTAATATAACAGTTTCATGTTACCATTACTGTTAATTGTCATGGCCTGGTTAATTGTTATAATGTCCGATGTCATGACGTCTAACTAGAACGCACAGCAAAAATGAATGTGACATAGGCTGTCATGACATCATACATTACGACATCTGTCATAACAATTATTGACAATGGTAACATCACACTAAACAAAAACTGTCATGTTTTTTCCATCATAATTTCAATGTTGTGAAGCAGGATTCAAGTAAAGTGTTAGAGATGCAGCAAAAACTTCTTGGCTGAAACCAAAACCGAGATTCTGATAATAAATATAAACAGTTTACATGAAACACTCTAATAATATAATTAATTAGAGTACGTGGGGTGCACTATGTGCCTACACTGTGAAAAATAAATTCTGTAAATACCCTAAAAAAAGTCTGGCAGCCACATTTATTCATTAACAGTAAGAGAATGTTTTCTTGGTAAAAATCTGTAAAATTAGTCATTCATTTTTTAGAAATACTAACTTTTATTGTGATTCAGTAAAATTAATGTAGTATTTCAGTTTTTTACCATAACAATAACAGTAACTGCAATTAAAATAAATGCAAACGTCTGTGAAATAAAGCTTATCATTATTGTGAATTCACTGTTTCTGTTTCTGTAAATTGAAAACAGCAGTGTCAAAATGCTGTATATACATTTTTTTTTTCAAAAAACAAGTAATGACTATTAAATTTTACTTTAACGGTGAAAATACTTTTACACTGTAGAAGCCCAACATCCAAGTTGTTCATCCAAGGCAATTAACTCTATCATTTTTTTAGTTACTTTGGACTTTTGCTGTCATTTTTTAAATTTTTCATAATTTCTAAAATTGTAGCTACTGATGGTGTTAGCATGCTAGCAGGGACTTTCCCTTCTGCTTCTGTTGTTTTGCTATATTCTGCATATCTAGCATGACGTTCTGCATATCAAGGGTTATCAGACCTGTACTGGAGTAAGAGATGTCCCTTATAGAAATCATGAAATCTTTCCATTTTTGACTATTTTCAGCCAAAATTTCAGTGCATCATTAACAGTAAAGTCGTTGTAAACAAATTTTCACTTTCTGTCTGTTGTTATGATGCCAGGTTATGGTGGTTATGGAGCCAGACCCAATGGTAAATATGCACACATTTTACATTTACACATCTGCATCAACACTACATGCTTATAATGCAGACTAGGCGGCTCTGATGGACATCTAATTTGGTCTTTACTTGCTGACTCTCACAGGACTTGGAACTTATCAAAATGGAGGAGCTAAAGGGCCTAAACCAGGTAAACATGCTGTCTTTGTTGAAGGATTACAGTCAGAGTCTGTATAGGTCAGTACAGCTTATAAATGGCCAACACTTTACTGTAGGGCAGTGTCCTCATGAAAGCTGACATACATATTTATATGGACCATTCTGCATAATCATCATTTATGGGGAACCTACTGTTGGGAGGTGTCTAAATCCTGAATTTACACTTGTGAAAATAATACTTACATTTTTTCTCTTTTTTTAATGTTTTTTCAAAGATCTGTTTTAATTTCTTTTAAAGTGAAGCTGAAATATTTATATTTATCATGAGTTTGATTTTTAAATTCAAAAAAATTCTTTAAAAATGCTGTCACACATTTTCATGTCACTACCGAAACAAGTTTTAGTGTGTGGGCAGAGCCTTATTTTAGCCACGCCCCTGCATTTCAGAGCAGGAAATGAAACTGCATCCCTGTCCCTCATGGCCACATGGAGAGCAGTTAGATCTAATTGTTTTGAAGTAAAAGTGTCCCAAAGTCTGAAAATCAGTGTGTAACATTAAGAATTGTCACTACCGAAACACATTTACTGCAATTAAATAATTTTTTGTGTTTTAATGAAAAATAGGATGATTTTTTTGTGTGTACAGCTGTTCAAAGCTGTTTGCTGGTCATGTACTGTCTACATTTTTGAGTTCTGCTCAAAATGAGCTAAAATTATCACTACTGAAACATTTGGTAAAGCTACAGTAGTATTATGATTGTTTTGGTAGTGACAAAATGGAATGTTCATTAATTTGTTGTAATAAAATGAACGGTAATGAATGGTAGAGGGTCACTCAAAGCAAAAATATATTAGTCTAAAGTCCAGATCAGTTAAAAGTCTGAAATGTGTTTCCAACTCTGACTTCGAACCAGTTTGATAAAGTGATCCACACAGGTATCATATAGTCTTTTCAGCTCTGCCCTATAGTGAAGTGTTAACGATAAATGCAAATGTGCCTGTGATGATCTAAACAGGATATGGTGCTGCTGGAACTGGAGCAAATAATGGACAAGGAGCTAAGGCCAACGGTAAGCTCCCATGATCATTCCATCCTACATTAAACCTCATGTTTTACATGTCAAGTCTAAGTGCCAGGTTTTTGCATTTAAGGCTATATACCAGCGATCACCAGCCCTGATCCTGGAGATCTACCTTCTTCTATGTTTCACCTCCAACTCAAATCTAACACACTACACTTATTCACTTAGTTAAGAATCTGAATTAAATTATTTGATGGATTAGGTGGAGTCAATTAGGGTTTGAGCTCAAGGGTTAATGAACACTGCCATATACAGTGGTGGGAAAAATGAAGGCATGTCTCACCCTCTCTGATTTCTCAGTGTTATAACGTAGAATTCTCTTTTTTAAGAGAATAATTTGAATTTTACTTCTTTAAGAGAAATTAAGTTTAATATTTTTATAACAAAAATGACTTTCATCAATTAGACAGAGCATCCTAGTGTTTGTAACTCACTCGCTCATGTTTAGCAGGCTGTTAATTCTCCACAAGGGGGAGCTAAATAGCTGTTGATGCTTCTTACGAGCAGTGACACTGTGTTTTTGTTGTAAGGTAATGTAGGCCCATGTGATGTAAACGCTGTAAGATTTCTATTAGAAATAATTGTTATTAAGCCAAATAAAATGTCCTGTTTGTTGTCTTTGTGGATCTTTTATCATGTACAGGTTATCATTTATTTTCTTAAACTTTACAACTTCTTTCAAAATGAAAATACTCTCATGGTTTCCAGGTTATGGTGTTCCTGCTGGTGTACCTAAAGTTGCTAAATCTGGTAATTTAAGCTTCATATATATGTTTTTTGTCACACATGTCTGAGTTTTGTTCCTTACATGTATCTCAGCACTGGTCCAACATAAAAATGCTTACATTTGTTGTTAAACCTTCAAAAGAGCTGTAAGACACCTATTGTCATTTTTTGTTGCACACTGTTGGGTCTTTGAGTTCAGGGATTGTTATTGTCTGTTTTAACAAATATGCACTGTTATCATTTGTAACAAAGTGAATAAGCTGCATCTGGGGCTGGATTCACGAAAAATTTTCTAAGAAGCATCTCTTTCTTTTGAAAATGTCTTCTTTATTTTCTTTCTTTCTTTATTTTTTTTTAAATGCATTAATATCATGTTACATTTTGCAGCCATAAGCAACTTCAGATATATTTTGAATTTTTTATGTTTTTGCTGTTAACTGGATATTCACTTTTAATCTCAGTGCCTGAGGACAGCAAGAAGAAAAGAAAAACTAAATTAAACCCAACCATCAAAAAAATTTAGCAAAAAAAGAACTAGACATTATGGTGAAGGAAACTGTAGTTTGTTAATCTCATAAGAAGTTACAATTTTGGAACCTCACTGTCTGATAAGATAAAACAAAAAATTAAGAACATATTATTTTCATGAATTCCACTTGTCCTTAGAATTGTCCTTAAGAGAAAAGTTAGATAGAAAAGAAGGGAAATTAAATTTACTCACATTTTACTTACCCCAGATGTAGTCGATCAGCCAAGTCCAGTCCAAATTTTGAATTGTTGCTTCTTTAGCACTGGAGTTAGGAGGTTAACAAACGATAAAAGTCAATAGTCACCCAAATCCTTTCTGCAAATGCATCACTAAAACTTCTCAAGCTGCATCCAGGTCTTCATTAAGTTTGCACAGACTAGTTGACATGGTTTAGAGCACAGTATGACTTACTGTGTGCTATAAAAATAACAAAAACTTTATTTGGGTGACTATTGAGTTCTGGTGTTTGTGAGCAATGTTAGCCTTACAGCTCCAGTTCTAAACAAAGAGGCAAAATTTTGACTCCAAATGTGTCTCGGCTGATCAACTACATCTGGCATAAGTAGAAAATTGTTTTTGCCCATTCTTTTAAGGCACTTTTGTGAATCTGGCCCCTGCCCTGTATTTTCTTTGTATTTATTTTGTAGTAGTTGCACTGTGTGTTGCACTTTTTTGCCTGTGTCATTGTCTATGCTGCTTACGTTCAGTGTCAGATTTTGTTTTTCTTTTCTTTTTGTTTTTGCATGTCATGTTGCATGTTTTGCTCTGTATCATTTGTTAGGATTTTGTATCCGCTAAAGAACATGCAGCATCTTTGCCAGTTTGCAGTAATATTGCTTTGGTTTCTAGGATATGGCCCTGTAACAAATGGAAATGAGAAGGCCTCTAAAGGGGCCAGTCTCGGCCCTCAGGCACCAAGAGTTCCAGTAGTGCCAACGTACACCAAGGGAGTCGTACCACCAGCTGAACCTGAGCCTACCAGAAGAGTACCTTCAGCACCAGAACCTACTATAGGAGTTCCATCACTGATAACAAATGGGAAGGGACCAAAACATGAGGTGCAACCTCAAGTTTTAGGTCCACAAGCCAGAGGTCCACAACTGGTGGCACCTCAGCCTGCTTTTGATGTTCCACAAGGAAAAGCTCCTAAACCAATAATCCCGCAGCCAGCCCAGGTGCTTCCACAGAGTAAAGGTCCCAAACCAGCACTGCCAGTATCATCTGCCTCACTAGGACAGGTTCAAGTAGCACCTGAATCTTTCCCTCAGGGAAAAGCTCCCAAGCATGCACAGCCAGCTCCAGTATTCCCATTTGTTCCACAGGGAAAAGCTCCAAAACCCATTCCACATCTTCCGCAGCCTGTTGCACCACAACCGGCATCAGTTTTTCCACAGGGAGTAGCTCCAAATCTGGTCACCCCTCAACAAGCTGTTTCACAAGTTATTGCTCAGAGACCAGTTGTTCCAGTAATGCCTCAGTCGAAAGCTTCCAAACCTGTCGTTCCTGCACCAGTTCCCCAGTTTCCACAAGCCAAAGGCCCAAAGCCAGTAGCACCAGTGCCAGTTGCTCCACAAACAGAGGGTCCTCCACCGGCACCTCAACCAACAGGTGCCATGCCGCAAATGAAGGGTCCTAAAGCAGCAAATCCTGGTAAATGCATGCAGTCTTGTGGTTTATCAAAAGCTTCTCCATAACCAGCATGGTAAATGTTAAGAGTACCATAAACAGGGTGAATATTCCATAGTCCAATCCTGATCCTGAAGATTTACCTTCCTGCAACCTGCTCCAGCTAATTCTTCCTCAGGAGTCCTGAATTGGCTGATGTATTAGTGTTAGGTAAGGAAGGGCAGCATGTGGGATGCAGGTTGGAACTAAAATTTCCGTGAAAGTAGGTCTACAGAAGGAAGTCCCCACTTGCCATACTTTGCATATTTCTTGCAAGTCTTCATTGAAACATGCCATTTTTCCTGAAATTTGGTCGAGGTGACAAATGTAGCCCATCTTCAGTCAAGTATTTTTTTCCCATTTCTAATTAGTGAAGTCAGGTGCACCTATTGCTGACACAGGTGTTGAATTGTGCACATACAGATTGTATGATCTCCATTGGATCTCCATGCTATGGAGCAGTTGCACATGAGCAAAGTCACTGTGCATAGGCTAGAGGGATATACAGCCCCACAACATCAGGCTGTGGAGCAGTTGAGTAATAGAGATCCCTACGGTACCTTTGGGATAAGCTGGACTGATCCAGAACGTCCAACATCAGTTCCTGGCCTCACTAATGCTCTTGTGGGTGCCACCAAATCCTCACCAAATCCTCATCAGTGATCCAACATCTAGTAGAAGAATAGATGCTGTTACTGCAGCAAAGGGGGACAAAAATCTTTGATTTTAGAAGAGATGTTGGATGAGCAGTTGTCCACAAACCTTTGGCCATGTAGTGTAGGGTAGCACACCACCCAGGACAACTAAGCTTCAAGATCCTATTGGTTGTGTAATTGTGTTATATGCAGTCTGTGCTGTTGTTTTTGGCCAGATTTACATCTTATTTTATCATTATATCCTGACTATACTTTCTGTCACCTTTAGAATTGGCAGGTCTTGGACAGCCTAATGGGCAGGGGGCAAAGCCTGTGAAGCCTGGTAAATCCAAATCTAATCTCCGAATTTTGTTATTAAAAATTTGCTAGCAACCACAATGTATTAGATATAGCAAAAAGAAAGCAATGCACATTTTAATGAACCTTGGAATGAATGTTATGTAGACTGTGGACCTGGTGGAGTGTCCGGACAGTGGACTAAGCTGCCCAATCCTGGTAAACTATGCTCAGTTTCTTGTGAAAATATGACATTTACCTCTGTTTTAGACCATCTAACTTCATAACGTTAGCCCGCATTTGTCTGAAATAAGAGTATTGAACCTGCATCAACAAAACATATTTGATAAATATGGGCTCTAATCTTTAAATTCTATGTTGCTAGGTTTCAGCGTTTCTGTAAGCATGTTACTATATGTCTTGTTTGTTTTAAAAAACTTGGCATGGTCATTTGAACCGTTTTGGCCTCGGTTAATGTTGCATGATTTGTGAACTGAGTGCACTTGCATGGGTCTCTTCTTTTGGTCATTCACACGTTCTATCATTATGGTAGCTTGGAGGTGCACTATGTAAAGATAAAACTTTAAATGGGCTTTTTGGCCTAAACTACAGTTTAATATATCATGTTTTACAAGATTTTATATTTTAAGTTACTCTTATTAGTCCCACAACAGGGAAATTTCACCCCATCCATGCAGTGAAACACCCACATACACACTAGTGAATGCACACACACTAGGGGGCAGTGAGCACACGTGCCCAGAGTGGTGGGCAGCCCTATCCACAGCACCCAGGGAGCAGTTGGGGGTTGGGTGCCTTGCTCAAGGGCACTTGAGTCATGTACTGTTGGCTCAGGGGATCAAACCAGTGACCTTCTGGTCACAACGCTGGTTCCCTAACTTCCAGCCCACAACTGCCCCTAACAAAGACTCGCAAAGTGAGGATCTAACCAGCAATCTCGTGTAGCGGGAATCAGCACGTTACCGCTGAACTACAGAACGATAACATTTTCATATTTTCATTTATCAGTGTTCTTTCAGAACAGTTCCCAGAGGCATTACACAGATATGTCACACAAACATCAGGAATCCCTGTGGTGTCAACCAGTCCTAACTGCTAGTTTAGCCACTGATCTATGGACTAATAAATGCAACCAAGCTAGCATTAGCATTTTAGCTTGCCTTAAGCTAGCATTAGCACTTTAGCATTTCATCATTTGATGAGTCATTTCTGCTGTTTGTGCAAACCATTCTCAAACAGCCTGCCCCCAAAAATCCACCTCATTGCAGTTGTAAACTGTCAAAAGTTCCTCCCACCTTCAAGATACATCATCAGAAGGTGGTTGTCCTAGACTTGCAACCGGAAAATCTCACACTAGAGATTGCAGACACCGCTGTAGGCTGCGTGTAAGTGTGTTAACAACAGATATAGAGAGATTTTTCACTTTGGCCAGAGAGTTCCTTTAAGAACTAAGAAATTCTAACTTTCATAGTTGTTGATGTTTGTATAACTATTAAGGCAGTGTTTTCCAACCTAGTCCTTCAGGACCCCCAGATGGACATTTTTGCTCTGTCCCAGCTGCCGAGGACTAGACTGGGGAAACTCATGATCTCTTGTCACTAATCATTTGTCAATGTGTGTTTGTGTTTTTGTTTGTTTAATGGTTGTTGTTGTTTTTTAATATAATATTGTCACTACCACTAAACAGTTAACACTAAACTGTATGTAAATTGTCCTTTTTTAAAATTACATTTGACTTTTCTTCCCATTATGATTGCTGAAGAATTTTAATCATCTTAATAATCACTGTATTTTCTGTTTAACTGTCCATTTTTGTTGTTGGAAAATGGCCTGTTTTCCCTCAGTTGTCCCTGTGAATAACATTGTGTTTATGATGTGTTGCGTGCATGTTGAAATGAATGAACTGACTTTTTATTTTGTGTGTCTAATATCTATACCATGTGAAAATGCTACTGAATTATGGGCACTAAACCTCATTTTGATAGTCGGGTTAATTCATTGCCTTTGTTTACATTTTGGCATAAATAACGATGCATTTGATCCACAGGTTTTGGTCCTGGAGCATGGTACCCAAATAGTGGAGGAGCCAAGGCCTCTAAATCAGGTAGAACTCACCACATGCATGGCATGCATGTAACTGCAAAAGAGAACAAGTTTGTTTTAAAAATGACACTTTGCTGGACTTGTTGAAGTTCCGGCCAGTTGAAATCTGCAGGAAAACAAGTTTGATGTGGAGTTGCTTTAAGCGTAGCCTTAAGTGGTAGCCCACATGATGTCATCACTAGCATGTAAGTGGTCTGTTGTTAAAAAGGCCAAAACATCACCATAGCTGTCAGTGAGGCATATAGGTACAAGAGACAAAAAGAGCTGCTTGCATCTCTATGAGAATTCCAATTCCAAGCTAATGTTTTGTACATCACTCTCCCACACTGGGCTTAAAACCACTTAGGGCAGATGTGGCTTAAATATAGATATTTGAAGCTTTTAAGACATTTAAGAAGAGTTTTTTTCTTTCTACATCGTAGCTTTAAAGTAATTCCTTCAGTAAATATTTCAACCTGAAACCTAACTTGAATGTCTGTAAGCTGTCTGGTGCCTGTAAGCTAGCTGCCGCTCATTAGCTGAGCTAGTGAGTCTAGACCTACTTGTCGAACAAGATCATGGTGTGATTTTAGGCTTTTTAATTCATATACATACTGTTTGTAAATGCCAACATTTGTGCATTCTTGAGATCCTGCTGGTGTGGGTTTCCTCTCTTTCAATGATGCCTTGCTATACAAAACCTGTTTCAGGGCTAATAGCTCCCTCTTGTGGAGATGTAAGTGTTTTAGGCATAAGTGATTTAACACACTACAGCCTATAAAATGATAACTTGCATCATTTACACTTTAGGAATTTGTCATCTTTTTGTTGGAAATATATTTCCATATATTGCGCCACCTTTTGGCCATTTCGCTATTTTTCTCTTTATCTAAATACATGGCTTTAAAAAGACAAATAATCCAAAAGTAATGGCAAGTAAACATATCATGTTACTTTAATATATCAATCCTTTGGATTTGGTTACACTTTTAACAAGTAATCTGTAGTAATGTAGTCTGTTTGTACATTCTATGTAATTCACATTATATTTTAGAGTGCAATAAAATTCAGCTCAAATCTTCATACAGAATCGTTATCAACCTACTTTCCCTGCTAGAAAAACCAGCATAAACCAGCATATGGCTGTCAAGAGAGGTTGTCACCAGCCAAACCAGTATATCGGACAAAAATAATCTTAATGTAGAAAAATAAAATCAGAGACAAAAATGGAGATATATGTTTTTCTTTGGACAGCAACAATATGCTGTATTTTGGGTGCTGGCATGCTGGTCAACCAGTTTTGCATGCTGGCATGCAGGTCAACCAGCATGACCATGTTGAGTGACCGGCTAAACTAGCCCAGACCAGTGAAAGCAGCTTAGAGCAGCATTGAATACAATACTAGTCTCTGTTGTGTTTTTTAGCAGGATTAACACAAACACTTTCTTTACAGTAGACTAATGGATAACTAGATCAAATTCAGCTCAAAATGCCAAATTATGATCATAGCTGGGGTCCATTTTGACTGAAAAACATTAAAGAAGTAGCTGTGTACTCTAAACGTGCATACAAGCTTTGTATTTATTAAGATTTATAAGATTTATATAAGACGCTAAAGGTTTCACACAGCAAGCTACCCAGCTATCTGCCCTTTACCATGTAGCTGTACCGTTGTGTGCAGGCAAAAATAAAGTAACACTAAGATGAATCCTATTGGAGTTGATGTTGCGGATAGCTAGCTAGCTAGCCAAGCAGCAGGGCAAGCAGGCTAGACTGCAATGCACTAACTTAGCCCTGCCTGAGCATTAACAATTTAGCCTTTTTTCAATGGTTCATGCAAGCTGGTAAAGCTAATGGTTAGCCTGGCAACATTAGTGCTCATTCATCCTCGGCCACGCTACAATACTTCGAGTTTTCCGTTCAAAAAGATGCTAAACAATTACGAGCCATGTACCCTTCAAACTCTGATTATTTAACCCCCATTCATCCCCTCTATTCAGGTCTTGGAGGATATGGAGCTAAACCCAAACAGCCAGGTAGCCTGTTGATTTCTGCCTTCACACTTTGTGCCTTTTCTTGGTTAAAGTAGGTGAATAAGTTTGCTGCAAACTCAACTTCTGTAATATGTCTTGTGTTTAGGCTTTGTTAATGGACAAGGCCTCCTCCCAGCGACTGGCTATGGTTATGGCAATGGTAAGGCCCTGTTTACCCTTTTAAAGTTATCATCCATCAATGCTGTTACATATTAGTTACTTAATGTTTCCGTCTTGTCTGAACATTCAAGGTCAAGCTGGCCTCAGTGAGACCGTCAAAGGCAAACCTGGTATGATAAACACACAAACACAGAATGTGGATTTGTTATATGACACTCATGTATAAGAAATATTCTTATACTAAAAAAATGTGCAAATTACATGTGCATCTGGTTTTTTTTCACTGTAGGAAATGGATATCAGCCTGCTACAGGTAAGCGTTAAAGTCGGCAAGGTACAAAGACTATAAATCACACCATAGCTGCGCTGAATGCGGCAATATTGTCGCACTGGAGATATTAATCCTGTGTGATTACAAAAATGATACAGTTGCATGCATGCGATAGACCTTCATGTGCGCATCTTCGTTCAAAATATTTTGTAGAGTCCAATGCATCTGCACAAGCATGGTCATGTGAGCTGCTACACAAGTTCTAGTGTTTATGGTAATTGTAGTCCATTAGGTAATGTGAACACCAGCTATCACAGTGTTTCCCTTCCTGTTTTTAAGTCTATGACTCCAACAATATGCGCATTACTGCTGGTGTGGGTTTCCTCACACTCAAAGCACAAAGATCTAGAAAATGCTCATTGAGTGCTAATAACACCCTGAGTTATTGTGAGGAAAATAAATTATCTATACATTTCACAAAACGAACATTCAGATACAAACCTTTTCCACAGTCAAAATGACAGTTTATTCCACTTACATAGATTCATACTCTAAAACATACTTTGAAACTTAAAACACCAGTGCTACATGTCCAAAATTTCTACGTATAGCCCAAATACATGTATATATTTGATTTCATTTAGTTCTTTCATCAATTGAAGTAAACTGCTGGCTTCAAAATATTCAGTGACACATTGGAAAGAAAAAAAATGTGATAGGCATTAAATCTTTATACTGAATATGTATCAAACGCTGGGATTGGCTCCAGCACCCTCCGTGAGCCAGAAGGATAAGTGGCTTAGAGGATGGATGGATAGATGGATAGATAAATATGCATCAGAAAATAAATTAGTATTCTTGTTAACATTATTGTTTGTTTTTGTGTTTATTATTGACCTGTAAATCACTAGCTAACATGACAATAGGATAGCTCTGGCTGTAGGCCTGCTTTTTCCACCTAGTCTTACATATGAATTGCGGTATGTAGTCTCTCAGTGTTGGTCCTCCCCACTGGTCAGACCAAATTTTCACCCCTGAGTAGCTACTTACAGCTGGTATTTGTGGTATTATTATTGTTACTGTTAGTATTTGCCATGCTACAATTGTGCATTGGAGGTAATGCCTTACATCTCTATCTCTGTAGGAGGAACAGGACAGCTACCATACAACGGTGCACCCATTGTTCCTGCTGGACTGGATGGTAATAATATAATATTATTATTTATATAATAAATATAAATATATTATTAATATAACTGGTGATAATATAATACAGTATAAATAAAAATATTTATCTATACTAATAAATTGTATTAGTTTTCTTGACTGGAATTGATACTGTGACGGTTGTTTTCCGACAGGAACAAGTCAGATCCAACCCCAGACTGCTGAACTTGGACCTGAAGCTAAATCTGGTGGTGCTTATGGTACTTATTATATTCATTTATTTATTTATCGTCTCATCTTGGTTTAGTTTTAGGGGATGTTCTAATAAAAAGTGTCTAATTGCTGCTAAGCTAATTCAGAATGGCTGTTCTTCTGACAGGTGTCCCTTATGGCACTCAGCCAGTGGTGGGCTCTGAGGGGAAAGTCTCAAACGAAATATGGTAAGTGGCTGCCTTTCGAACACCTTCACAGTAAAAGACATTCATTTGTGTTACGTTTACTCAGGACTGCGGTTCTCTCTTGTTTTGAACAGGTATTGGTGGTCTACCTTTTGCTGGCTTGCCAATGGGATATGGCCCTGACCCCTATGGAAACTATGGTGTGTCTCTACTCTATGTACACTATTTGGTCAAAAGTATGTGGACACCCTCCCTAATGAGGTGTTTTAGCCATATTTTTTGCTAATGATTGTATAAAATCAATCACATAGCCATGCAATCTCCATAGATAGACATTGGCAGCAGAATGAATTGAACTGAAGAGCTCAGTGGCACTGTCGTAGGATGCCTCCTTTGCCAGAAGTCAGTTTGTGAAATGTCTGCCCTGTTAGATCTGCCCTAGACAACTGTAAGTGCTATTGTTACGAAATGGAAGCATCTAGGCCACGAAGCGGGAGACCACACAAACTCACAGAGTGGGGTTGCCAAGTGTTGAAGCATGTAAAACTCGGCTGTCCTCGATCACTCACTACAAAGTTCCAAACTGCCTCTGGAAGCAACATCAGCCCAAGAGCTGGGTGTCGGGAGCTTCATGAAATCGGTTTCCATGGCTGAGCATCTGCACACAAGCCTAAGATGACTATGCACAATTCAGCTGGAGGGGTGTAAAGCACCGCCACTGGACTCTGGAGCAGTGGAAACGTGTTCTCTGGTGTGATGAATCAGCTTCACTATCTGACAGTTTGATGGATGAATCTGGGTTTGGTGGATGCCAGGATAACGTTACCTACCGGAATGCACAGTCCCAACAGTAAAGTTTGGTGGAGGAGGGATAATGGGCTGGGGCTGTTTTTCAGGGTATGGGCTCCTTAATTCTAGTGAAGGGTGATGTTAATACTACAGCATTCAAAGACACTTTAGACAATTATATGCTTCAAAATTTGTGGCCACAGTTTGGGGAAGACCCTTTTCAGTTCCAGCATGACACAGAGAGGCCCATAAAGACAAATCGGAACATCTATTGCTTGAATCATTTTACTTAATAGGCACAAATTCCCACAGAAGCAGGACATCTTCCCAGAAGAGTGGAGGATGTTATAGCCACAAAAAGGGGGCCAACTCCATATAAATGTTCGTGGTTTTGGAAAGGGATGTCCAACAAGCTCATATAGGAGTGACCACATACTTTTGGCCAGATTGTGTATTTAATATGTGTATAATTCTATATTTATCTATATTTGTATGGATTAATAATCATTCCTCCATCTGTATCTTCTCCTCAGGGAATCCCTATGCAGCTCAGCCCTATGCTCCAAAACCAGCAGGAAAATATGGTGCACCATACAACCCTAAGCCTCTAGGATTGAGCGTTGATCCTAAATCCATAGGCAAATATGGTCAGTTGGTCAGATGTTTCTTTAATCCCAAGTGACATTTCACTACAAAATTAGCTTTATTTATTGGTAGCACTTATTTTGAAGGCCACAGAGACTTGAATTATCTTAGTTTAATGTGGTTTCAATGTATTATGGTCCTTTTCTTTATAACAAGTATATAAAATCCCTAGTATAATGCTGATGTCTCCATAGCTAGCTAAAGTTCCCGTTCCACCTTAAATGGTGCAGCAGTTCTGATGTCTGAAGCACCTGAATGTAACTGCTGCTCCATTTTAGCTGGACTGGGAAAATTCAAACAAGAAGCTGGTGAATTTCTGACTTCAGCTTCATATCACTGAAGAATTAGGGGTGGGTGATAATAAATAATTGCCCCCCTCTTTGAAGGCATATGATGCCCTAAATGTAACTAAAGCCCAGCAGTGAGGAGCTGAACTTTACCCTCCTCTGCTGTCACTGCAGACTGGCAGGGTCACCTACAGAGCAGCGCTAGTAGCTGTTAATGAAGTGATGCTCTTTTTATTTGAGGGTCCCATTTCAGAGGGAAGATTTCAACCACTACCCCTTAGAACTCAGTTCCAAGGGGCAACACTTAAAAAGAAGGGGTAGGGGGTAAAAATAAGAAATGGGACTGGGCCTAAATAAAATTAAGTGCCAAACTAGTGTCTTGATCTTCAGGTGATGTGTTAATGATGTTACTTCCTGTGAATAGTGTGGTTACTTTTTGTTCTGTTGTAAACTCTGGATCTCTCTCCTCAGGACTTGGAGGTTTACCATATGGCGGTCAGTCACTAGGACCTGGCAGCAAGGCTAAATCCTCTGGTAAATATGGTGACCGCTGTAATGTGCCCATGTGTTATTCTTCTTGGTAATTCTTCATCCCTCTCACTAGTACTTAAACACTTACTTGACACTCTCTCCTTCAGGATCTCAACTAGGAATGGGAGGCCTGCCTTATGGTGGACAGCCACTTAGTCTGGGCCCTGATGCTGGGAAGTCTGGGAAATATGGTGAGGCTCAGAAACATGTCCACACTTTTTAAACAAATGTGAACTACAGGGCCATAAAAAGTATTTGATTTCCTCTGCTTTTACATATTTGTCACACTAAAAGGTTTAAGCTCCTCACACAAGGTGTAATATCACTTACACAGAACCAGTTCACTTTGCTGGAAAGGTTCTGTTAAAGTGATGCTTGGATTCCACAGGACTGGCAGTAATCAAGCCAGGGTGTGTCTAGTCTTAATAGATCCCAGTTATCTACTAAATTTGGTTGATTGAGTAACTAAATTGCTTTTTCACACAGGGCCAGTTGGTGTTGGACAACGTTGTGTCCTCCAGTGAATGAAATTAACCCAGTTTCTCAAAAGCATCTCAGTGTTACGACTGTCTTACCTGGAAGAGAGAGTATTCAGTGTGATGCTCGCTCTACCATTTAAAAATCATCTTTCGTACCAAGGTGGTTTTGAGTTTCATTTAAGAACTTACTTGGGTTGTGTTTGTCTTATTATGAGATTTCGTTTGAAGATGTGAAACGTTTAAGTGTGACAAACATGCAAAAGTAGAAGAAATCTGGAGAGGGGCCAATATTTTTTCACAGGACTGTATATTGCTACTGATGTTGGTGCTAATCTCTCTCTCTTTGTCACTCTAGGCCAGCCTGCCATGCCTTATGCTCCAGAATCCATTAGCTTTGGTGGAGAACCTAAAATGGCTGGGAAATATGGTAGGTTTCAGGTAAAATTGGCACGTCTCCCACATGCGCCGCCGTTACGGAGGATGACAGTGTCTCCATGGATCCACTCAGTTCATATTCCATAAATAATGCAGGAATTACTGAAACACTGAGATTTTAGTAAGCTTGTTCTCCGCATTATTCATGTCAACCACTAGGGGTGCCATTAGCCTGTGCTGTACGTACTGAATCTGCTGTATTTACACTCACCATCCACTTTATTAGATTCCTCCACTTTGATGGTGTTTTATGGAGCCCTGCGTCCCGTATAAATAAAAAGGCATGGAATGAGATCCTAATGCGTGGCCACGACTTAGTAAGGCGTAGGATCCAATATTTAAAATTCCTACACAGTGCACCTCCTCGTTTCTACGCTCATTGTCCATTTTATCAGCTCCACTTACTATATAGGTGCACTTTGTAGTTCTACAGTTACAGACTGTAGTCCATCTGTTTCTCTGATACTTTGTTAGCCCCCTTTTACCCTGTTCTTCAGTGGTCAGGACCCCCATGGACCCTCACAGAGCAGGTACTATTTGGGTGGTGGATCATTCTCAGCACTGCAGTAACACTGACATGGTGGTGGTGTGTTAGTGTGTGTTGTGCTGGTCTGAGTGGATCAGACACAGCAGTGCTGCTGGAGTTTTTAAACACCTCAGTGTCACTGCTGGACTGGGAATAGTCCACCAACCAAAAATATCCAGCCAACAGCGTCCCTGTGGGCAGCGTCCTGTGACCACTGATGAGAGGACTAGAGGATGACCAGCACAAACTGTGCAGCAGCAGATGAGCTATCGTCTCTGACTTTACATCTACAAGGTGGACTGACAAGGTAGGAGTGTCTAATAGAGTGGACAGTGAGTGGACACAGTGTTTAAAAGCTCCAGCAGCACTGCTGTGTCTGATCCACTCGCACCAGCACAACACACACTAACACACCACCACCACCACGTCAGTGTTACTGCTGTGCTGAGAATGATCCACCACCCAAATAGCACCTGTTCTGTGAGGGTCCATGGGGGTCCTGACCACTGAAGAACAGGGTGAAAGGGGGCTAACAAAGTATCAGAGAAACAGATGGACTACAGTCTGTAACTGTAGAACTACAAAGTGCACCTATATAGTAAGTGGAGCTGATAAAATGGACAATGAGCGTAGAAACAAGGAGGTGGTCATGATGTTATGCCTGATCAGTGTAAAGTGAAGGTTTTTGCATTAAACAGTGCTGTGTTATCATATTTTCACTGTTACATGACAAAACATTAAAAAGTTCATGAAATGATTGAAATATACAGCGATGGGTGACCGAACGTTCTTCTCCTCATTCAGCCGTCCATGGTCGCTTGGCAATGATACCGTACTCTAAAGGAACTACATTTCTTGGCAGAATGCTCCACATCATGCCTAAGAACACCCTTTCCATAATAAAACTGCAGTAATGCGCAGCCTCTCGTGGCTCTCGTCCTCTGTAGAGACGTGTAACTTATTTTCACTTAGAAAATCAACAGAACGTGGGATTTGACTGGGGTGTCCAAACTTTTGCACATGGCTGTGAATAAAGTACGAGTCAGTTGAATTAAACATGCTCCATGACACCTTTTCCAGGCCAGCCGATGCTACCCTTTGACTCTGGACTGGTTGGCCCGGTGACAGACGGTCAGTCTGTTGATCAGCCCGGTAAGAGCTTTTCTTCTGTTTCTATATCACTCATTTACTCTGTGTCATCAAAGTGTTCATTTAATGAGCTGAGATGTTGAGTGAGCTCAACCAGACTCTGTGTTTTCTGACACTGTATAATAAACCGTTATCTCCAAAATCTGACACAAGTACATTGTATAGCTATAAGCAGCAGAAGTAGCCAGGTTGAAGCTGCAGTCCGTCTGTACTTCTGTCCGTCTTTAAAGTGGAAGGAAGGAGTTTTATTTGGGTATTTCAGCCATGAATAATGTCCCTTAATCTTTCACTTCCATTTCATCTTGTCTGTGCAGCTCTGCCTTATGAAGCTCTACCTCCTGGTCCTGAGATTGATGGGGTGAAGTCTGTGGACCAGTTCGGTTAGTAGTCGTAGTACCTTTTTAAACATGTGTCAGGCATTTTAATTCGAACACTAAAGTGAAATTCCACTAATTCCTTTTTATGTTTCTACATAATTAAATGGTTAAGACGTAAACAGAGTCATCCAGAGTGGTTTGGTGTGAAATGCTCTGTTCTAGAGAAACTCTAAAAGCTCCCTCACAGAAAGTTATTACATGAAGTAGATATGAATATGCTGTCTGATGCCCATTCATCTGGCTAAACATATTTTTTTTAATCCATTCGTGGTGGAGAGGTGCATGCAAGGCTTTGTAAGGCAAAATATCTCCTAATAAACCTTATAATTACAAATGTTACATATGAAAACTCAGAAGACTCGTGTAGGTTCAGTGGTGGTTTTGGATAGTAAATAAAATGGCTGTATTTATGCTGTAGACACTGTGACCCCTGGTTCCTATCACCACCACTGTAAAGACTCTTTAAAGTAACTTTCTCTACTGTTACCCATCACACATTAAACCACTCTGAATGACTTTGTTCACATCTCGATGACTGAACTGTGCAGAAATTTTACAGAATCAGTGGGATTCCCCTTTAAATGTGCATATGTGTTTCATTCAGGAGAAGGAGAGATCCCACCTCAGCCTGATGCTGCCCTGGTACAAGGATTTGGAGAAGGAAATGCCAAATCCGCAGGTACACACAGTACACATACACCCTAATGTCCACATTATTGAGTTATTATTAAGTTAACAAATTATATATATATATATATATATATATATGTAGATTTGGACCTTAGATATAAATTATACACTGTTCGCCCCCTTTCACCCTGTTCTTCAGTGGTCAGGACCCCCATGGACCCTCACAGAGCAGGTACTATTTGGGTGGTGGATCATTCTCAGCACTGCAGTAACACTGACGTGGTGGTGGTGTGTTAGTGTGTGTTGTGCTTGTACGAGTGGATCAGACACAGCAGTGCTGCTTGAGTTTTTAAACACTGTGTCCACTCACTGTCCACTCTGTTAGACACTCCTACCTTGTCGGTCCACCTTGTAGATGTAAAGTCAGAGACAATAGCTCATCTGCTGCTGCACAGTTTGTGTTGGTCATCTTCTAGTCCTTCATCAGTGGTCACAGGACGCTGCCCACAGGACACTGTTGGATGGATATTTTTGGTTGGTGGACTATTCTCAGTCCAGCAGCGACACTGAGGTGTTAAAAAAACTCCAGCAGCACTGCTGTGTCTGATCCACTCAGACCAGCACAACACACACTAACACACCACCACCACGTCAGTGTTACTGCAGTGCTGAGAATGATCCACCACCCAAATAGTACCTGCTCTGTGAGGGTCCATGGGGGTCCTGACCACTGAAGAACAGGGTAAAAGGGGGCTAACAAAGTATCAGAGAAACAGATGGACTACAGTCTGTAACTGTAGAACTACAAAGTGCACCTATATAGTAAGTGGAGCTGATAAAATGGACAATGAGCGTAGAAACAAGGAGGTGGTCATGATGTTATGCCTGATCGGTGTATATCTTATATATCTAAATTTATCTAACTCATATATGCTCTTAACTTTCTTACAGGAACAGGCAGTTATATCGGTGGAGGAATCCAACCAGAAGGTAAATGAAAAAAAAAGCACCTGTTCACTCTTAAATAATGTGTCTAAGCCAAGTGTGTTTTGTATTGTAGCCAAAAGTTCGTCTTTGTTGGATGTGCTTTTTTGTGTGGTCGCTGTTCAGGCTGAGTTTTTGCTGAGCTTTTGTCTCTTCTTTGTCTGTATCTTTGTGTTTTATGCTTTGTAGCGATGCTTTGACTGTGTGCTTTCTCCCCACTCATGCTCATTCATCATTTCCCGTAGGGCTGTAAATATCTGATTATAGATTACCATTCTTTAGGAAACGATTCATTGAATCAGCTTTCACCACAATTCGACTTGATTATTTCACTGTGACTTTTAAAAATACGCTGAATACACAAATAAAAATGAAGTATCTATTTGAAACAATAGTGGATATGGAGTATAAAAACAATACAGCCTTTTTACACTGAAAAAGGGCCTGAAACTTTTATTTTGGCCAAAAAGAGTCCATATTTAGTCATTTATAATTGATTATAACATTTAGAATGACGCAGTTGATACACTTGGTGCACTGCAATGCATGGGTGCAAAACACCCCCCCCAAATTCTTTCGTTCAGCCCATTCCTTTCTTCTTCAGCCATCTCTTTTCCCGCCGCCCCCACCTCTGGCCCCTCCCCTGCTTTGGCTGGCCCCGCCTCCCTCCCGCTGGTCACAGCTGTTCTGCCTGAAACTGGGCCCTCCTCGCTAGTGCCCCCTCAGGCCGAACCACCCAGCCCCCAGCTTCCTTCACTCATGCTGCAGCCGGTGACGCCCCAGCAGATCCACATTCAGCAGAAGCTCAAAGTCCACCTTCATCCGCAGGGCAAGTCCTGGACAGGTATTCTAACCTGAGAAAGAATACATTGACCATCATTGTCCACTTTATGAGCTACAGACCGTAGCCCATCTGTTGCTCCCCAGTTTATCACCCACCGTACCCCATTCATCATTGGTCAGTTTCTGACCATTGGTTCATTGGTGTTGCTGTGTTGACGTCAGTGTCATGCTAGGATGAGAGTGGTCCACCACCCAAAAATATCCAGCCAAGAGCAGCTATATGATCAGAAACTGACCAGTGATGAAGGGTTAGAGGACACAAACTGTGAATCAGCCGATGAGCCTTAGTCTCCAGCTGTACACTGGCAAAGTGGATCTTCAAGGGAGGGGTTTCTAATAAAGTGGCCAGGGATTATACTGAGTGGACAACAGTATTAAATGCAAAGAGACAGAAGGTGCAGGTGGATATAAAACGTATTTTACGCAGGAGTTTCTGATTCCTGTTGTATTTCTGGCTTTTTGCTTTGCTTTTCTTTGCTTTCAAATGTCCAAAACATGACTGGCTGCTTTTCAAAGTGTCTGTTGGTTGAGTTGATAAGCCTTCAAAACAGGCATCCTGTATTGTTGTGTTTTTGAGAGTTGAGTGCAACATGGTACGAGGAGACTCGGCACAGCCTAATGCGGAGTAAACAGTAACACCGATAGTTATTGTAGTTAAACCTGTGAAAGCCCAGTTCTGCCAGTTGAAGGAGAAAAGACACGTCAGTATGTCAAAATTTTGACTTGAGATCTAAAATTAATGACTTATTATCTTTAATTAATGACTGACTGTGTGGAAATAATGTGTTTTCTCAAATGTATGACTTAGTGTTTCAAAATAACTACTTTTTAAAAATGTTGATATTTTATCTCCACATTTGAATTTATCTTGAAATGACCTACTATGTCAAAATTATGACTTACTTTCTCAGCGTTTTGATTTAGTATCTTAAATGCTCTACTATGTTGAAATAATGACAATACATTTCAAAGTAAGGGATGATTTCAAGAGAAGTCAATATATTAAGAAAATAAATTATAACTATGATGTAATAAGTCATTATTTTGAGATATTTCGTCAAATAATTTGAGGAAAGAAGTCATTACTTTGCGATACTAAGTGAAACGTTTGGACATTTGCCAATATTTTGAGATACTAAATCAAACATTTGAGGAAATAAGTCATTATTTGGAGATCTTAAGTCAAAAAGTGAGGAAATAAGTCATTATTTTGCGATACTAAGATGCAAAGTCACAAATTTAAGGGAATAAGTGATTATTCAGCAATACTAAGTGAAAATGATGTAGTTTGCCATTATTTTGAGATACTAAGCCAAAATTTGAGGAAATAAGTCATTATATTGAGATAATAAGTCTAATATTTGAGGAGATAAGTCATTATATTGAGATTTTAAGTCTAAAATTTGAGGAAATAAGTTGTCATTTTGAGATAAAAAGTAAAAGGTTTGATGTAGTTTGCTATTATTTTGAGATACTAAATCAAAAATTTAAGGAAATAAATCATAATTCCGAGATACTAAGTAAAAAAATTGCATGTGAATGACTCTCAGTGAGAGCTGGCCAGATTAACAGCCTCCACATAGCCGGGTTAGTTTTACAAAGCTGTTGTTACTAAGCTTCCTACAGTCAACAATGACAGACGTCTATATTCACCTACATAAATTCAAAACAGTTCATTGTTTTGAGGCATTTTTATGCACAGATTCCTTAAACATTCCTCATTTCTCATACAAATAACATATATTCACATGCTATTGTTCTGATAGATGCTGTTCTTTTGTGGCCACAAATAAATCTGCTTCATTTAGCACAGCTTTTTTTCACTGATCATATTTATTTTGATGAATAGCTTTTATTTTTTTAAGATGAAAAGCTCAACAGACTTGTACTGAATTAATTGTGTTTTGTATAAATTCACAGACTTTTGGTGACTGTTGTATCTACATTTATATTACTTAAAGATATTAAATATTTGCTCTCTTCAGGAGGAACGGAGGGCAAATATGACCTAAAAGGATTCCTTGGGAATGGATATCAAGGTAGTTTATTATTATTAATATTGTTGTTGTTGTTGTTGTTGTTAAAAATAGTGGTAGTGGTATTAACAGAGTCTTCTTATTATTAAACACAATCTAGCATTTTTATATGTACATGCTGACCTCAAACAATTCTATCAAAATTCTATTTCTTATAATTTACTCTCTTTTTTCCAGGATGATACAGAAGAGTGGAGTCACCCTGAATAAATGTGTATCTTATTTTTTACTCTGTTGATGCTTTTAGTAATTGTTGTATATTTATCATATTCTAGTTTCATGTTGAAATTTTCCCCCACCAAATTTTCTATATAAATTTATATTCTATATATTCTTCTATATATTAAAACATTTTATATCCCATTTTTTCCCTATACAGGAAAAAGATGCTGCATGTACTGTATAGTATAAATAGCATAAAGTTATTTTTTATGAAATACCCGTGCTTGATTTCTTTGTTTCGTTCCCACAAACCTCTCACTATTATTATTTTCTTGGGCTCTGTGATGAAACTGAAACCGTTATATTTCTCTGTCCTGTCCCTGCATGTTCTTTTTTGTGTTCTGTTATGTATCTAAGAGCATAATAATTTATTTAGCATGGGAAAGAAGTTTGTTGTCTGTCTGATTTTTAGACAATGTACATTTTTTAATAAAAAGATGGGGGAAACACTGAACTCTACTCTTGAATAAGTCTTTTTTCTGTTGTTTTATTTTAAGACTGTTTTCTAGCCTTGCTAGAATACAACATGAAAAGCTTTTTAAAGATCTCAAGTGGGCAGAATAAAAAATATACTGACCATTCAGATTGGAAACCCTAAGTGGGCCTTGCACACCATGAAGTGGGCCAAGCCAATTATCATGCACCATAAAATGGGAGGGACAATTGGTGACACACTACAAAGTGGGAGGGACTATTGCTTGCTCATGATGAAGTGGGTGGAGTCATTTGGTTGCACACCAAAAAGTAGGTTGGGCGGGTTACACAGCATGAAATGTTCAAGGAATTGGTTGCACTATATAGAGTGGGTGTGGTCATGCTTTTCACCTACAGAGTGGATGGGGCCATTGGTTGTAAGGCATTTATATGGGCGCAATTATATATTTTGTATATATATATATAATTTATCATTTTGGCACAATGCCAAAGAAGAACCACTTTTGGCTCCCTCAAAAAAGTCTTTTGAAGGAAGGTTCTTTAGAGAAACACTTCTGTAAATGAGAGATGTGAGACGTTTAAAGAACCTCCACATAATGTAAAAGTTCTAGCAAGAACCATTAAATTGACATAGAACTTGTGTATATTTTGTAAAGACTCTATACCTCTAAAAGACATGACAGACATGGTTCTTTAGGGAACTAAATAAATGAGATGTGTGTGTGACAATCTTTTTAAAGTTTAAACAACCTTCACATTATGTACATGTTCTAGGAAGAACCCTTACATTGGTGTAGAACCTTTATATTATGTGACAGTTCTTTAAACCTTTAAAGGTTCTTCACATTTACAAATCTGTTTTTCAAACATGGTTCTTTAGAGAACCACAAGTGGTTAAAGAAAAACACCTTAAGAGTGCATTTCACACCACAGAGTGGGTGGGGCTATTGGCTTTACACCACAGCTCAACAGGTGGGCTGCTGCTGGAAGTATAGCTCTTCAACTACAGCTTACAGTGCGCTGAGCCTTGCTGGACAAAAATGGCTCGACTATATCCTGCAGCATTGGAGAGATTATCCTGCACATCTTAGGTCCCGAATAGATGTCACGGAGCAACCATGGCGCCTTATAAGGAGGCAAAACTTATTGATTTCCACAGTTCCCCTCCTCACCTGCAGTTCAACAAGTATGTCTTGAGTGGATACCGTCCAGTGTCCACCTCCAGAGGATGCCTTCAGAGTCTCTTCTACCTGCACAATGAATCTGGGAACATCTACACACACGGTAAGAGACACTATAGATCATCATCTGCTCGTCCAAGCCTTCGTCCATTAGATGAACTATGCAGCCTGCTTCTTTATCTTGATGCATAAGGTTGGGTACAGGATCCTTTTACACAAGGGCAATAGGTTACCCTAGAGGTCAAATCCCATAAATGTATACCCCTGCAAACCTCCAAATGGGTCTACTTTCTCTCAAGAGCACTTGCAAATGCATGCTCCACCGGTGCACGTAATTGGATTAGGCCAGATTAGCTCTAATCTGCAATGTGTGGGAATCCTCGTCCTGTTAAAAGATGCTACAATAATGAGGTACAAGGACATGCACAGCTTTGGGTCAACGTCTCATTTGGTTTTGGTTTGTTGTTCATTTTTGGCCACTTTGCTAATCCATGGTTTGAGCCTAGACGCCACTAGAAAAGGATGTCCACCATGCCAACCTTGGACTGACATAGTATCCTCAGTGGCCTCTTCGGGTTTCCTTAAGAACATTAGCAGGATTAAGAACTTAAAGCTTCCACATGGGAGCGTTTAGCAGGATACGTGAAAGGCAGAATGGGGGACAAGTGGTTAAACTCCTGTAAAACTGACTCAAGTACGAAAAAACGATGTATCAGGTCCAAGACGTCTGCAGTGCTGAGCTTCCTATAGAACTGCAATGGATCTTCTTAGTATATCCTGCATCTATCGGCATAAGAACTGAGCAAAGGAACTAAATCATTAGAATGAAATTAAGCACAAAAAAGGAATTAAAAATTTAATGTATAGGCAAAATGAAACCAAGCAAGATGTGTATTGCTTCCTCCACATGTATACTTGAGAAGTGAAAGCATTAGCTTTTAATAATCCTCATACAAAATCCATCAAAAGCTCTGATTGGCAGGCAACGTCTATTATATCATGCAACAAACTTCACCAAGCTACCTTTCCATTCTTCAGCAAAAAGTACTTGATGTATTACGGGATACATCAAAATTACCCAGACCCCAATGATTTGGTGGGCAGTTACCTTGGCCTGGACAATGGCACTTGGCTTGCTCCTTCTTGGCCAGATAACCTAATCTCAAGACTCTCCAACAGGGGATAGACGACATTTCCTTTTGTTTGTTTGGGAGGGGGTGGTTAACCAATTTTCTCCGTAATCTAGTCATGACCAATTCCCTCCTCTAGTAAGGTCTCCCTCTATCATACGATGTTACCAAGCTGGGAAGGTGAAGGCTAGTATGTACATCATTGGTGAGGTCAATGCATTTGGAGGAGAATGCTAACTGTTAGCTAACAGACACGTGTTAGCACTGCATTGAGTGGGAGAGGGAGGGTCATCCTACCAAGCCAGACAGAGCACGGGCGATGATGCCCTCTTGCACTTCTGGTCACAGATGGCCGAGATAATATGGCCAACGCTAGGACAGTTGAGCCACTCAAGAGCCTGTGCGGGATGTTTCCAGTGGACAATCCTTATTTTGGGGTTAAATCATTCAGTTCAGTGAGAAACACTGCTTTGTGAAATAGCCCTTCAACAGTGGTAGACAATGAACTTCTAGAAGGACGAACCAACCATTCATGCCAGACATCTGAACCAGAAATCTCTTAGAATGCTTAGAAATGTTCCTCCTTTTTACCTTCTTATGCGTTCCAGGTACTTACTTCTCTCTCACTTTTACCCCATCCTATCAGGTATCCCATTCGTGTGCTTCCTGCTGCTCTTGCCCCTGAGCATCCCCTGGTCAGAGGTAGATGAATGGTGGCTCTGTTTAGTCCACTACCTGGCCTGCCTCTCACCCACTGTGGGCTCCGTCTTCTACCACATCTTCATGAACCACGAAGGAGGTGTCCGCATCTACGATGCCCTGCTCTCCTTCGACATGCTTGGTGTCTGCCTTGTCAACACACTGGGTAAGGCCTTTGTTTTTATAAGGGTCTTATTATGGATAACCAAGTGTTCCTTTCTTTGGAACTAAAAGGTTGACATACTATCTAAACACTGTTAAAGTTTCAAAATGTGTTACTCACTGCACAGTCCTTACAGTTCATAAATGGAAACTAAGCTGCCAAAACAGCCTGTTTTCATATTCACCATAGTTGTGATATGTTTACAGTCTACAGCAGTTTAGCCCCACCCATTTACACTGAAGTGATATGGGGTGTTGTTTACTGCAGACAGTCTGTAGCAGAGTTATTGGAGTGTAAGATGTAGGGAAAACCTTTAAAGTGACCAAGGACATCTCACTGAGCAAAAAAAAAAGTGTGGTTCCATCTTCACGCCTTAGGCTACGTTCACATTACCAGGTTGAAGCGCCACAAATAAAAATTTTCGCCCTAATGTGACTCAGATCAGATGTTTTCAGGGCTGTGTGGACACACAAATCTGATCTTTTCAAATCCAACCTGAGTCACTTTCATATGCGGTCCTAGATCGGATACATATCCGATTCATGGCCACGCAACCTTAATGTGACGCTCAGATCGGAATTCAGATGCTTTTTTTCCACTGTGCTGCACCATCATTCAGCGTTACCATGGCAGCAGCACAGAACAGAAGTTAAAGCCTGTAAACGGTGGAAAAGCAGCTCATCTCACCTTTTTCTCCTTCGTCTCGCTCTAATAATGAAGCTGAGAGCTGATCAGAGTTAATTATCTTCTCAGCGAAGCTCGTTCTGCTCGTTAGTTTGTGCTGATGATGAACGTGATTCATTCACTTGACGTTACTGAGTAGGATGAGCTCATGAGGGTCATTTTAGGACGCCGGTTTGTCACATTAATGACAGATTTGAATGACTTGCCTAAACGAGTGTGAACTATCCCATCAGAGAGATCGGATTTGAGCAAAAAAACGGATTTGAGCAATGAGACTTGTAATGTGAACGTACCCTTATTTTTGCATCTTTTCCTCTGGTTCTTAGAGGGAGGAGCTAAGAAACACAGTATCTTATGATCCCACTTTCTTTCTTCATTTGTCCACCTGCAGGTGCTCTGCCGATAGTTCACATTACACTACTCTGCAGCCCGTCTTCCAGGAGGGCCGCCATGCTGGCTTATCTCCTCCTCTCCTGCCACGGTATCCACTGTGCCGTAACGGCAAGGAGTAATGTCCGGCGATTGCGCTCCTTCGCATGGCAGGCCCTGTTCCGCTTTTTCCTCTTCATCCTGCGCTGGACTGGTCGAGGGACAGGAAGCCCTGACTCACTCCGTCTCTACCTGACCATGGATTCACTGGCACTGCTTGGAGGACTCGTGAACATCTCTCGTGTGCCAGAGCGCTTCAGTCCGGGCCGCTTTGACTACTGGCTCAACAGCCATCAGATTATGCATGTGATGGTGGTCTTGTCCATCATGTATTTGCACTGGGGGATGATGGAGGACTTGGCCTGGTTAAGGCAGTACCAGTGTCCTGCGGAATAACATAAAAGGGAACTTCCTTATGGGGTAATACGCACCAAGTTGTGAGCCCCCTCCTTTTTTATCTTCAAAGAATATTTTTGTCAGTTTTAACCCTCACCCCAAATGTAATCAAACAACCAAGACATGTTTGATGTCTGACGTTTGCTAACTAAAACTAACTGAGCCAGAAGTTGAGAGGGTTTCCCGAGATGTCAGCCCCCCTCCGTTCCACTGTCAACAAACCTGAGTGAGTGTGTGAGAGCAGCGGTGCGACAGCACAGACATTCTCAGTTTACCACAGCACTCTACGTCAAACATGTCTTGGTTTGACGACTACAGCTGGCTTTAGGGGGAAATTGTGTGAATTAGATATTTCAAACCTTTTAAGCTTCTCAGTAGTAGCCCTTGAATTCACAGTTTGCCTCAAGTGAGCGATTCTATTTTACGATTAATGCCTTCAACAAATCTTAATGAAAGAAACACTTGATAGGCACTGGGGTTTTCAGCAAGGCCTTCATGTTTGAAACCAACAGTTCCAGATTGGGACTTTGGGGCAAAACGCTGTCTGAAGTAGTAACAGACAAAAGGAGGCTAATTTAAGAATTCAGTAATTCATCAGTACTGAATTTAGCTGCATTTTATATATCTGGACATTGAGTATTGCCAGATTTTTAGGTATTTAGATTTAACTGAATCTCAGCTCTGTTGTAGCTATTAGTTTGTGGCATGAGTCTCTCTATATTTGAATGGGACAAGATTTCCTGATAATACTTGAACATCTAAATCAAGTCCAATATCATTTTTAAATGATTGTAAATTATGTATTTATATATATTTTTAAAAGCCATTCTTTTATATATGTATTATGCAGATGGTTTACCTGTTTAACCAACAGTTAAAAGCTGTAGTTACATAATCTACAGTTTCACTTAGTCCATCTCTATAAAAACTACTTTGTTTTATTTTTGTGTTTCTGTCCAATTTCATGTAAATTTGGACACTCCTCAAAGAAAACACATCTTAAATGTTCCCCATAGCAGGCCAAAAACTGTTTGTTTCCATTAGGTAGTTAGACCACCTTTTTATGTATTTAATTTCCAGTCAAAACAGCCATAAAATGCAATTATTAATTTTTCAATGTCAGGAAAAAAGGAGAAAATACATATATTTAACCAAACGTTACACAGAAGCCTCAACAACTAAATGTATTTCAAAATTTTCAGTACTTAGTGTGTCCACTTTTTACCTTTATTCCAGCTTCCGTTCTTTTCAGGAGACTCACTTTCAGTTTCTCAAAAAAATCTGCCGACATACCTCAGTCTTAAAAGTTCAGTCTTAAAAGTTGGTTTAGCCTTTTATGCTTCTCATGAACCAAGTAAGCCTGAACGCATTTGATGCTGAGGTCTGGACTCTGGGGTGGACAGTCCATTGTTCTGAGAACAGCAGCAGCGTTTGTTAGGGGTCCCATTTTCCCTTTATCTTTTAATCATTTTTTGAACTCATGTTTTGGAAACTCCTGTTTCTTTTTAGTTATTGTCCCTTGAACGTTCCTCTTCCTTATGCAAGTGGATTATCTTGTATCTGATCTCCTCAGAAACATCTCCCGAATAATGCAGAATGTGTATTTAGACCCTGTTTACACCTGGTCACTTCATGTGTCTAGTATCTGGATTGTATCCTGATAAGCCACATGCATTTATTCTTGGTAGACAAATGCATCTCAGTCCACCTCCTGAAGTGGTTTGAGTGATCAGATTCGTATCTGTTTTAAATGCATCTTGGGTGCGTTTACACTTGCATTTTTATGAGGCCTCATTCATCTATAATCCTGATCCTCAAGGTGCAGGAAGTGACCAGGTGTAAACGGGGTCTTAATGGTCATTTTGACTGGAAATTACATTAATAAAGGATGGTCTCTGACTTTGGCACAATACTGTAGGTCAAAGGGTTTAACGGTTCTTTATCTGGCTGACTGTTGCTTCTTGCTTTCTGTAGTCTCAGGTCTTTTGGGATTCCAGGAGAAGCTGCTCATGCTAGCTGTAATTCAGTTTCATTTCTGCAATAAAAAGCAGCATATTTTTCACCTCTATTGCTTTTGTGGTTTGAACAATATGACTCAACACTCATGATGTTAGTGTCCATGTACGACACAGCAAAAAAAAACCCCAAAAAAACAGCAGGACATACATGACAAACTCTGCAGCTGTTTTATTGAACGTAACGTAATATTATGTACACTCAGACTGAAAAGAAGGCTACATTTTCAAAATTAATTTGGTGAATATAATTATTAGTCCCATTTCTTTCTTATTTGGCACCCAAAAAAGTCCAGAAGATCGACAGCCCCGATTATGTTAATGTTAACTTATGTTTTTTTGTGTTGTTCAGTGTTTTTGTTGTGTGTTGCAAGACGCTTCATCACAGACCACCCTTAATCCACACCTCAAAGCTTAATCCACAAGCGAGTGCATGAATATCCGTGTCCTAGGAGGTCATGCAGAATCGCTGTGATGTAATGGCATTTCTGTGATCACCTATGGTACCACTGGTGACTTTGATGAAAAACTACTGCATGCATGCACAGTGTGGTGGTGGTACCCACTGATATATCAGCCCGTTATGTAGGGAAATGGTGCTTGGGCCCCTAACTGATAACCAATATTACAATATTACAATTATGGGTGTTAAAGGCACGTTACTTATGTTGTGATGGTGAAAGTGTTGTGTAAACCCTTCCTGATGTTACAATTTGTATTGTTTTCAGCGCGAGATGCTTCTCTGCGTGTCTGCCGCCTGTAAAAGGCAGATTAACAGTGGTCACTCGTCATCAGAACTGCTGTCCTCCTCGGCCTCTGAGAGGTCAGCAATGGGGAATCGCAGGATGGCCGCCACACCGCTAAGCTGATTCAGTTCTGAGAGGGAGAGAGATTTCCACGTTTAGCCTCACTGTACTCAATGGAAAGCAAGAAAAATGTCTGATGCTCATCAACTAGGGATGTCCAGATTTGTTTTTTTCCCACAGTCCCAAAGTGACACCCTCTAAAGGCATCTTCTGTTTTTTTGGACTATGCAAATTATACAAGAAAAGTGAGTACAACCCTGTTCAATATGGTTGGTAAAGTATATATATATAACTTGATTTGTTTGTATAACAAAACAGACCCATTTAATTGGTTAAACTGTAATAAAAACTGTAATAAATGATTCATACGTTTAAAGGCAACAAAAGTCACCAGTGCAATTTCATTTGTTTGTATTTCTAATATTTTGCATGTCCACATTTGTTGTTCAAGCCTCCTGGGCATAGATACCAATATACCAAATGATTCTTTTCAGCTCTTCTTTAAGATTCCTTAAGATGTTCTATAGGATTCAGGTTAGTGGAAATACTTGGCCTGGTGATGTTTTTCACTCTCGTCTTCTATAAAAACTCGTGTGTGCTTTTTGCAGCGTGTTTAGGATCACTGTCCTGTTTCCTGTCAAGCATCTTGAGAGTAGGAATCACCTTTTGATTCAGTAATTTGGTCCATTCACTATGCTATCTATAAAAAGTCACTTGCTGAACTCATACTGCCTCATATTAACACACTACCTCCACCATGTTGCACGGTTGGCTCTATTCAGTCACTGTGATACTCTTGGCCAGATCCACACCAAACATGCTGAAACCTATTTCATCCAAACAAGTTATGCTTAGGCCCAATCTCATTTTACCCCTTGCCTCTTCCTTATCCGTCCGTTTTGTGTGTTCATGCCTAGGGGTAGGGTGTCCCGATTTTAGTTGAGATAGAGGGGTAGGGCGAAGTGTTAGAGCTACATGGCCCTCCAAACGTATGTTTTTCAGAGATTCCAAACGGAGGAAAAAAAAGGAAAACTGGCAAGATGGCTGAACAAGAGACCAAAGAAACCCACAAATGTGAGAATTTTCTCTGTTAAAATTACGATAATCATTGTATTATCTTAGTTTAATCTCATTTCAATGTATTATGATTTTCTTCATAACAAGAAAAAAAAAAATCGCTAGTAGTATGCTATCTCCATAGCTAGCTAGCTAAATTTCCTGTTCCACCTTAAATGGTGCAGCAGTTACATTCTGGGACCATTTAAGCTGGAACGGGAAAATTTAAACAAGAATCAGGTGAATGTCTGACTTCAGCTTCATATCACTGAAGAATTAGGGGTGGGTGATAATAAATAATTGCCCCCCTCTTTGAAGACATATGATGCCCTAAATGTAACTAAAGCCCAGCAGTGAGGAGCTGAACTTTGGCAGGGTCGCCTACAGAGCAGCGCTAGTAGCTGTTAATGAAGTAATGCTCTTTTTATTTGAGGGTCCCATTTCAGAGGGAAAGATTTCAACCACTACCCACTGTAACTCAGTTCCAAGTGGCAAGATGACATCAGAAAACAAGGGGTAAGGGTAAAAATAAGAAATGGGATTGGGCCTTAGCTTAATCTGACCTGGGAATGTGCTGCCAATTTTAATCAGGCTTTTTTTCCATGTTCTTTTGCAAACCTAAGTCTGGCAGTTTTGGACCAATTTGTTAATAATGGTTACACCATCAAATAAATATAGTGAATGGAGCATAATGTGTTAAAGCAACTTTAGCAAAGGGCTGAAATTCAAGCTTAATACAACAATGCACTAATTATGCTTTGATCAGATCTGACAGCTCTCAGATCAGATCAGGACATCTTTAACATCGACTTCGGTGCCAAACTCTCTGAGCAGAAACTTACGTTCTCCAGATACGTGCAAGCTTGAGAATATCCTTTAAAAAACAAATGGAAAACAGAAATCACAGAATAAACCAGCTGGCAGTAGAGAAAAAGATTCACAATTCAAAACTGTACTGAAGTGAACTGAATATAATGGATATTTGGTACAAAGTTTCTATGTAGATGTGCGTATATGTATCCAAGTACAACGGCAAAATGAAGCTTTACAGAAGTGGCATATTTACCTGACAGTCCCTCCGTTGTCCTTCACATTGTCCACGAGCCGGACGTAGCGGTTCCGG